CCTTTTTACATATATACCGACGGATATAACATTGCAACGCACCCGTTTAAAGAAGATCCTTTAGCCCCTTCACGTTTCTACCATTTTTGTGTCGGTAATGATAAGCCAATCCGGCTTTAAGAGGCACGCTGCAGGCACGCCGAGCCGAATTTCTCTTTCGTCCCCGTCCGTAAACGACAGACGGGATAAAGAAACAACATCTTCGCGGCTCGCTGTGTGCGCTTTAGCTTCATTTGCGTAAGCCAAATAAACTGAGCTGTTAACAGTAACTTTTACGAGTGCATCGAAAACGCGGGTCGTACCTATATGCAGACGCCGAATGGTAAATATATTCGTATATACGCATATTTTAAGAACGGCGAAACTGCGTGACGTAATCGCACGCGTGGTAGGTATCTCTCGATGCTTAGAATTCACAAGTCGCCGTTCGGGATCGGCCGTTTTCACCTTCCTCCCGAAAATAATCGCGATCCGGCCGAGCAGCGATACGTATACTGTCATCGGCATATATCGGTCGCCGCGAGATCGAGATTGCGGGTCACGTATATAGCCGCGAATGACACATCCGAGAAGTGACGGATGATCGGAATTAATGAACGATGATCGCCGCGACTTCGTCTTTCGTCGAATTTCGTTCGCTTTTGGCGGCTTCCTGCGTCGCGTGTATATACATATGCACGTGGTATTACGCATTCGGCGAAGCCGGGAGTTTCCGACGAAAACATACTCGCTGTTAATTTTGGCCCTCTCTGACCGTGAAAATAACCGCGTACCGTGTGTAAATTGTTTGAAACGCGGGCGATTTATGACAGACTGAGGGGTCAGTGGGAGGGAGGGGGGACCTCTCGATCGAGAAAACGAGGTAGAAAACGGAGCACGTATTTTCCTTATTTTCGTCATTCACCGTCGCGGTTTAATTTTAGCAGATCGCTGAATGAAATCCGCGGCCGCGACGAAATGAAAAGCGTAGCACGCCGTTGAAAACATTTCCGACATCCCTCGCTCTCCGTCGCAGAACCCTCTTCCCGTTATGGAATAATCCTTCCCCCGTCAGGCGGAAACTCTCGGCTCCGAACGCGCGCTCGGCGATCACCTTATCGCCGTGATGAATTATTAATTGATTTTGCGGCGGCGAGAGAATCCCGCGGGGTCCGCTCGCGCGTGGCGCGCGTGAAACGTCGCGATGGTATCGCGATAAACGACCCGTTAGAAAGCGAGGTAAAGCGATTTCTATACGAGGCGTCCGTCGCAGAGGCGTGCGTCGGGCGCCTTTCTCGTAACGCCGACCGCATGATCGTTTTATCCTGAATAAACTCGCGACGACGGCTATCGTCGGCGCGGTACATTTCGCGACGCCGTAGACAAGAAGGCGCGACCGCCCGCCGCACCGTGCAGGATCCGCCGCGGTTTTCCACACTCCGCGTAAACGCGCGCGCGGTGCGACCGCCGCCGATTATTTGCTCGACGCGCGCGACCGGCGCGGGTTTCTCTCCGCTTTCCACGCTACTACGCACTTTTATACGCACGGAGACGTGAGACGCGGCACGAACGACGATCGGTTTGTTTTTCTTCTCAGTCTTGTGGTAATACCATAACCTTGAGAATAAATTGGATGTTGGACGACCATTCGCCCGCTCATCGCTATCTGCATTTTTACAGATCTGAACTCGAAACTTGAAAAGAAAGGAAAAATAACAGTCGACGTCCTCGAGAAACTACCTTAGGTATTCTGAATCTTCAGAATTTTTATGAAGGAATTTTTCTCTCTTGTTGCACGGTTTGAGTTTTGAAATGAAATATTATTTTCTTATTGTGCCATTTGAAAATAAGCGCGATACGAATTTTAATTTTAACGTTTTGTTAAATACAGTTAATAGCATTAATTATATTAGATAATTAATCATATATGAATCTATTATATTACTCGAATCGAGATGGATCTCTCTCATCTTTCTGAATAATTCTATAAATGGTACTGTCGAGTAAAACAATAAATCGACCGTGTGCCACCATCTGGAGAGAGAAATATTGCATATGTACGTTAAAATCTACAGTAGTAGGAAAAATAAGTTTTGAAATAAAATTTTATTTTCTGATTGTATCACTTGAAAATAGCGCGATACGAATTTTAATTTTAACATTTTGTTAACAGTTAATAGCATTAATTATATTATTATTAGATAATTTATTATATTATTAATCTATTACTCGAATCGATGGGTCATCTTCTTGAACAATTCTATAAATAGAACTGTCGAATGAAACAATAAATCGACCGTCTGGAGAGGAAACTAGTGCATATGTGCATTAAAATTTACAGTAGTAGGAAAGATACTCGATACCGCTATAATGCGTAAGAAGCGCTCCCCCAATTATTTCTTTCATAAACAATCGATTAACGGGAATCGAGATGACGCGCACGATAATTTCATGACGAAAATTACCCGAATTCATTATCTGAGAAAAACAAAGCGCTCAAACGCGCCGATTGGGAAACCGCCGAATCTCTGGAAGCGCGATAGCGTGCGGGAGAGTTTTGAAGAAGCTCTCGCGAGAGAGGCGAAGAGCCGATCGTCGGCGAAGATATACCTACAGCTTGGAAAGGCAGCGAGATGAATACTCTCCGATCGGCTGGAATCACGCGTATAGAACGAAAGTATTTCCACCCGGCCGGCACACACGATGCTCTGCACGGGGCACGGAGATTTATTTCTAATCTAATCCTAAAGGAACGTTAAAATAGCTTCAGGAAAGTGCTGCACTGTCTCGGCGGCGTAGTTGTGTTCTACTGTGTACCGCGAGATATACAGCGCACAATCTCTGGACAATTTAAATAACAGATAACCCGTATTCTCTCGCCGCCGAATTTTTGGTTGCCTCTTGGAATTGATTAAACAATCTCTTTCTGAGCAATTGATTTGAATGATTCTTAATTTTTATTCTTTTTACTTTTTACATTCTTAATATTTCTCCTTTTTTTTTTAATCGCGCGGGATCAGGTCTGTTTAACAGTCAATTCCAGTCGATCTCTTCCTGGACAATTGATTTGAGTAACCATTCTTAATAGTTTTTTTTAAAATTGGGATCAAGTCCGACTTGATGTCGAATTTGTGACGCGATTATTATCTTCCTTTGGCTCGAAACGAGTTGAAAAGTTTTGCACGCATGCACTATTGACTCGACTGCATTCCTTATACGCTTGGAAATTGCGAAATTACCAGCCGGTAACGATCGAATGACTTACAACAGATCGTATGTGTACATTATATACGGTTTTTCTTTTCTGCGTTTTTTGTATCGTTGAAAATGTAATTGCTGAAAAATGGTAAAAGGAGTTTTTGCGATTGAAGCTGGACATTAACATCTATATAGAATTTGTGCGTTTTGAGACACAATTGTGTGTGCATCATGCGCACATATAACACAAATGTTCACGTATCAATTATCTTCTTTAGTTCTTACAATTGACGCGATGGTAATTTTTTGTTACTCGTCGTATTCTTTGTGCTTTTGGTTCATAACTTATATGTGCGTGAATGATAGCAATCATAATTATAAATTAATATTAATTTCTTAATTTGCATGACTCATACATTATAAATAATATTCATGAAAAATTGAAGACTGCAATATCTGATTTTACTTGCGAGCACCGTCATGTAGACTAAAAACTATACCTATAAATTAAAACAAAACAAAAAATAAAATATTTATACAGCAAGGAGATAATTAGTTTGATGTGTGCGTCAATAGTAGTAGTGTCAATCTCTTTTTCAAACTAATATCAAAATGTGGAACTATATTTTCCCGTGAAAAAAAAGTCAGTCCCGCATAACCAATTACTTTTGAAATCTATCAAATAAATTTATTATATATATATATATATATATATATTAATATTTACTATAATTTTTTCAGCAATTGCTGCTCATGATGAAATATCAAACTTTCATGACAACTAATATATTAGTAATAAATTTATCGACAAAATTAATCTTCCTCATCTGACGTATAAAAACAAGTAACAGAAAGTTTATAACACATAAATTGACATGGACATACACGTGTGCAATTACGTTCTATAAATATACGTAATAACATAGTTACAAAATTACATTCTAAAATATGCTCGTAATTCTATTCGAAGTATATACGATACATATTACGATAACGTTTAAATTATTTATTAACGTCATTGCATATTTCCGCATATTTAACCAGAAAACGACGCAGTTCGCTGATATTTCGATATCCAAATTTATTAATATTATTGTATTGCATTTTCTCTTGCTTATAATCAATAACAAATGTCTGATTTAATTTATTTCTATTCTATTCTATTCTAGTGCGTTAATTATTTTATCTGTATTGTATTACAACAGAAGGCGATTCGATTGAATTTGATTAACATCGTTATAGCAGTATTTCGAAGGTTTAAATTAATAGTCGTGTAAAAATTATTTATATAAGTAGATATGTGTGAAAAATATTGCAAATTTCTTTTTTTTCATCACTATATTTTGATGTCGCATAGTTTATCTACAAAATCTCATTATTTTTATTCGCTTTACGTATGTCTTTGTGATGTTTAGCAAATTTAAATTTATTAGCGGTGGAGCGCAAGGGAAAACTTAAAAAAACAATTCTAAAGAATCTAAAAGTTAAAAAGTATGAACGCCTTAAGAATAGAGAGATTCGACCGCGTGGCTTTCGACATGTCAACATATTTCGACGTGTTAATTTAGACATTATCGAAGTGACGAATCTCCGCGAGACGCGTGGAAGGCAAAGATGGAAGGAGAAAACGACGGATACAGACGTCGATTAACGAGAGAATCGGGAAACTTGTCGAATTTCGCGAAGAAGTCCATTCGGATTGACGCGCCTGCGTGCCTCGAGCGCATCCGAGCGCTCACGGAGACGGCCGAGATGCAGCGCGGCGGCAATTGCAACCGTCGCGGTCGTTCGCGGCCGACGTCAAGTCAGTCGGTCTGTGCGCGCCGCATAATTTGGAGGAGGGCTCTTATATCTCTCGCGTCTGCAGCGTCGAGCCGCAGATCGAAGCCGATACTTACAGCCGCTCCACGTGCCTCCAACGCCGGCTGGCCTGGCCGGGTGCTCCGCTTCGCGGTCGTTCCGCTTCTAATTCCTACGTATAACGAGTACAATATACACGTCGAATTCATGGGGATTGTTACCGGTTCTATTTCGTGCGAAACGTGACGTCCATCAGGTATTCGTGTCGTGAGAGACGCCGACGCGTGCTCGACACGTGTTAATCTCATCGATTGTCGGAGGAAGAATATTTCGAGAAATCCGGATATCGATAAAGAGCGCGCTACGACAGTCCGAAAATTGCATTTGGGCCGACGGCAATCGACAAAACGTGCGCGACAGCGACGGATCGAAAACCGAAGGGGATTGTCTCTATTTTCAAATCAGGTATGTGTAAGCATGACTTTCGCATTATTTCGACTATTAATTGTCATATTCTACTCGACGCTTTTCGATGTCTGTAATCCAAACATGTCTATGCTTTCTGATATCTGACTCCGGCACGAACAGTGCATGTACTGTGTACTATTCGGCTTGCAGCGTCACGTTAATATAATATTTCTATTTCGCTAAATAGATCTTCGATATTTACGCTTGCATAATGTTTTGATTAAACCAAAATTTCCAATTGAGAATTTGAAATGAACAAGTCTTTATTTGAAAAAAAAAAAAACCTTATCTTCACTGCTAGATGTGAAAATGCTGCCGTTGTTACGTTCAATAAAAAGTAATAAAATTTAAATCAATATTTTATATCAGTAAATAATTTATCAAATAATTAATACGCGCAATTTATTTTTGATAATAAAATATTTCACGAAATGATGGAGAGATTTGTTAACAGAACTTATACGAAATCGGTATATTTTTGTTTACGTAGAAATTTCATTTGTTTTCAATTACTGATTTTTTAATTACGAATCTAAATCAATTTTTCTTAGATGAAAATCCAATTCATGCGATCATTTCTTGATTTTATATAGTTTTTTTCAATTAAAATTCAAATCTATAATATTGTGATGAAGTTTTACTCAGGCAATGCAAACGTTACTGCATTCTTTTGATTTATTTTACATCGATTTTACATCGATTATCGTCATTTGGACGCATAGACTGGGAATTCGATAAAACAGGAAACAGAATAAATGTACGTACATAAATGAGAGTCGTTGAAGTTTATCTTTGCGAAGTAGGTATTGTGTGAAACTTCTAACACTGTATTCTTTTTCGATCGAGCGACGTCCATTTACAGTTAAAAGCGCGTCGCTTTCTCGTTGAGGGCTATCTCTTATGAACGGCAAAATTTACGTAACTGACTCTGTATGACGTATAGCTGTCGCAAAAGGATGAAGTTATCATTCGTTATTTAGCTGTCTAACTAATTACGGAACCACGTATATATACAAAGTAAATGTCTCTAAATAAAGATGCGTGTCGTTCCGACTTCAAGTATCGTTCCGCGCGCAAGCCTATATAGAGAAGTTTATTGAGAGTTTCATTCGTCAGAGACGAATTCTCAAGACATTCCAAGACCTTCCCGCGGGACCTTCCGGGATTCTATTGGAAACGGTGATCCGTTTGAGACCCGAGGAATCAATTGCCGATCAAATCTCCAGTGTGTCCCGGCTGTTATCGTTAGCCGCCGCAACGTGTCAATTCGAGGGACACGAGAGAGAGACAAAAAACGAGGAAGAGGAATGGAGAGGCGCGCCGGAGCACCGGATTCAGCATTCGTTACGCACCGCCGAAGAAAGTAAATTTCATTTACTTCAGGGTCACCCGGTCGCGAGAGAGAAACGTATCGCGGAAAAAGTGAGCAACGCGATGAAGCGACGCCGACCGCGGCAGCGGCAGCGGCGTTGCATTAATGCGCCGTGAGAGAAGTGAACGTTCCCGGAACGCGCGTGAAGGAATAAAGAAAGTAGCGATTCCTCAGCGTGTATATGGAAAGATGTGGGAAATTTCGCCTCTAAATACACTGTACGACTGACGAAAAGGGAAGTACAACAGAAAGAGAGAGAGATGTATATATATATATATATAGGATGTACAGGACGTCCGACTTACATCGCGACCACTTTCTCTCTCGATTACAGATATCAGATTGAATTGGAAAGAATGTCCCTTTTTTACGATCCCAAGACGTCAATAATTTTCGAGTTACGAGCGATTGAATGAAGAATCCGTGCCGACTAATTCGTTTTTTTTAGTTACATATTATGATTGTCTCATTTCTATTTTATTTTTATTCAGTAATAATTTTTATCGTGTTTCAAACATGAATCTCCATGAATATTGTGTTTATTAATATAAGAGTACAAGTATACAAGTTACATTTTTATTGCAGAATTGCAATCTATATATACTACGATAAATGCGATAATTACGATAATAATTACTATTATCTGATTTTTATTTATATCTATATATATTTATATGTATAAATATAAATAAAGATAAGATAATGACATACTTGTTAGTAGAAAAAATAGAAAGAAAATACGAGAGCAATGTAAGCAATAACGATATAAATTAGTCTTGCTACAAATTCTTTTATATACAAAAAGTATACAAGGATATATTTAATAAAATCTCTTACGAGGAACACTTATAAGTTACTGCTACTTATTGAGATATCTCGTTATTTTCTTCTTTAATATTTTCCATACGGTTTCTGAAGTTTACGCAAAAAATTGATTTTTGAATAGATTGTGTGCTCGATAATTTTCGAGGCTCTTATGTTTATCAAGTTTAAAGTTTCAAGTTTAAAGCAGAAAAGAATTTAAGAGATAATCGATGTTATACTCGGTTCTGTGTAATTAGCGACGCACGTTTCATGCCTGCTCAAACCTGTACTGCCTGTTTTAACAACCATACACTTACAACATGTGTTCTAATCCTTTCCACGGTCAGCCAATTTATCTTCAGGCATTTACCATTCCAGACATACCTATCGGCAACATTATTATTTCGTAAGCAAATAATAATGTTGCCGACAAAATATGTCTCAAGTGGAAATTATATTGTAAATAATTCTCCATGAAGCACTTGACAATATTAATGAGTTTGAAAGATCGTAAATATTTTACAATAATATTTCCATTTTGTCGTTTTGCTACAAATTGTTTAGATCCATTTTTACGGTATTTTTTTACTATTATTTATAATTGTGCGCGATAACTTAATTAATCGAATATTATATGTTAGTAAATATAGAAAATAAACTATTACGTCTTAGTATGTCGAAACTAAAACAAAAAGCTGAAGAACAAACTTCAAAAACTTTTTCGTTTAAAAATTTGTTAGTTTTAAAAAGCCAGGTTATTCCCGGGTAATTAATACGCGTTCATTTCCAAGAGAAAGAAGTTGCAATAGTTATATAAATATAATTTGTCCCAAGGACTAAAATTTCAATTAATTCGTATAAATACGGCAATTCTTCAGGCAACAATATCCTTTTTTTTTTTTTGCAATAAAATGTTTGAGTGTAAGACTGCAACCAACGAGAAAAAATAGTTTCTGTGATGGTTATTAAAACTGGAGAAGAGGACAACGGTCAAAAGACGTATGTAGAAATACTTGCGAGTACTTCTCGACACTTGGAAAGTCACCGACCTTGACAGACATTTCAAGTCACGCCGGTGAATTAGTGCTCTTTCTCCGTACTCGGCAACCTGTATCATTACTGTATGCATAAAAAAATATCTCGGCTATCCGGACAGGTGCGTTAATTGGTATATACGCGGGACGCCCTAGAACTTGTGCAGTGCTTGCGACTGAAGGGTCATTCTGTTAGAGCATGTGTTACACCTTTATCCAGTCATTTCGAGGATCTGCTGCTGGTGGACGTTTCGAATGTGGGAATGACATTTGTGTGGAACTGGATCCACTTGATTTTTCTATCAGCAATTTTTTTTTCTTCGACAGCTAGATTGAGAAGGTAGAAAGCGAACTGAGCAGTTCAAGATATTCAAGAACACGATGTTACAACTCGCAGTAACGCGGCATTATAACGCGGATTTTGACATCGCGCGTTGATCGTTCCAGATGTCATTCAGCACCCGTAAAAGATTCATCTTAACAGACCGATCTAGTATAACGAATTGCATTTTAACGAATAAATTTTCCTAAATTAATTTAATAATATTGCGTACATATTTATGCGATTCAGAATTCATTTTTCTATTCTTGCGTAATACTGCAAATTTCTGTCAGTCACGAAGTTGATATACAAATACTATGAAGATGATAATGAAAAAGAAAACATATAGAAATGCGTTATATAAGTCGCGTGGAATCTATATGTACATGGTAAATATCGGTGTGCAGAATAGATGGAACGAGAGAGAAAAAGAGAAATATGCAATGTGGATGTACAATATAAATTTTTATATCTTAAAAATCTACAATATTATAACACATTTTTAGAAATCTATAATATTATAATAAATTGATACTGCACCTCTTATTATATAATTTAGAAATTTACAAATGTAGATTTAGACTTTATAGCTCCAGACTTTGTAACTCAGAAATTTACACTTTCGAAATTTATAGGAATCTGCAATTCTAGGAGAATTATAGATCGTGAAGAGAACATTTTCTCTTCATAACAACAAGTGAAAAGCATCTCATTATCTTATTATTAGGATACTCTGAGTACCTCAATTCGATCGTATCAATAAAAAGTATCCACACTGTTCGGCACTTTTGATTTTAATGATTTCGAAACGATGTTATTTTAGTGTACTTCTACAAAAGTAAATACTTTTGTAACGTTAATCCATATTATTTCATGTATATTGCATACGTATAGAATTGACATGCTACGATATGAAAAACAATTTCAATTTGTAAAAGATTCGAGCAAAGTAGTAAAGAATTCGGCATTTATATAACAATTATGTAAGTTAATTGGCTGAAAGCTTACGGTGAGAAATGTTGACACTCGAAAAATGATGCAACGGTCACTTTCCCCAAATCTAGGAGTCGTCTCTCTCTGTACCGCATGTAAATTATGTACGGACCTAGATACACGATATATTATTGTGAAATAATTACACGTATGTATATTATTGTGCATATATTATGAATATATTATTTCACTCTCGAAAGAAATTGACTCAATCTCACGATCCACTGGCGCAGATACTGGTCCAAATCTTCTAGAGAATTTAATAGGAATTTAATAAGAATGTCGGAGTTTCGTCGAGTCTCTCAGAAAAATAAATGGAAAACAAATAAAGAATTTAAGGAATAATCGTATAATAAATGAATAATTCTATCTAAATGTGTTTAAATATAAATGATCCTAATAAAAAAAACCCATCAGAAAGACATGGAATGCAATAAATTACGATAAAAGATCCTCTTTAATATACTTATATATACTTGCTTAAAAAAATCGTCTCGAAATTGATCGAAAATGCACGCGACGAATCTTTAAATCATCCGTCTTTTTTTTCTTTCGATAAATCATTAAAAGCCTGTTAAACACGCGATCAATATGTTGCAGATTTCGCACGGTTTTTTTTTTACGAGGGCTAGCAACAATGCTGGCGCACCTGTTTGAGAAGCACGGCCGGCTCTGCGCCGGCCATCCCTTGGAGGTGATCGTGTCGATCTTTACTTTGACAGCGTGTATACTTAATATGGAGACCGGAAATGGACAAGTACGCGAAGAGAACTTACCCGATGCCACGTACTGTCGTCACAACAGATGCGATGCTATGGTAAGCAAATCATAAAACTATGCTTTAATCGTTTTTTTCTTTTAAGGATGTTAACTTCTTTTGTAAGAAGTTGCGATTCTTCTGATATTAATATTCTATTAAAAATATCTCAGATCCAATAGGATCTAAATACCTCTTTAATTATTTAAAACAAATTAAACAAAATTAAAAATCTATATTATTAATTAAATATTTGACGAAATAATTATAACTGTATGTTGTATTCGACCGAACTAAATTTTTCTGTACGCTACTGTTATTTTTATCTATACTTTTTTTTATTTGTCTATATTTTTTTATTAATTTTTTATTTACTTCGATAAAAAAATTTTCTAATGTATGCACGTGTATTATATTCCACAGGACCTAAAAGCGGCTGACATTATAGTGATGACGATAATACGCTGCTTGGCGGTGCTATTTACTTATCATCAGTTTCGCAATCTACAAAAAATGGGATCTAAGTACATTTTAGGTAAGACAATAAAATGACATTTTTAATACATTCTGTGATCATTTTAATTTCAGTTGATTTATCCAAAATAACGCGTGATTTAATAATTTTATTTGTGTTATATTTGTTGAGTACATTATATTTTATAATGGTTAAAAACTACAAAAATTATAAAGAAGAAAATATATACCCAATATATCAATATTTATACATACATTATATACATCATAATTATAATGGATTGAATGGAAAATTTCGCTTTTTGGATTTGTGCTAAAGCTATCTGTTAGCAAAAACAGAAGGACTTTCCGTTCAACTCATTGTATATATATATATATATGTATATATATATATATATATATATGTATATGTAAAAAATTATATTATAATAATTTTTTTATAAACAAAATATCAAGCAAATAGAAAATCTAGCGTGTTTTTATTGTGTACATTGTACCTATATAATTTTATTAATAAATTTATTATAAAATAACAGTTTATATTGAAATTGCATACGAAAATGATTGAGTTTTGCATACATTTTTTATACGATTACGTCTGTTTATACGATAAATCTGTCATTATTAATTCTAATGATTCAGTATTGAAATTTTATTACAAAAAATTATTGCTTATTCATGGCATATTACGTTCGCAGCTTAACACTTGACTAACAAATATATACAAGTTTAAAATTAAAATGTTTAACTTGTTTATCCTGATTATAAAATTATTTAATAGTTTTAAACTTTGATCTTAAAATTGAAATTTAATGTTAGATATGTCGAATTATCGTAAATACGCGATGTTATATATCTATAAATGTATATATCTATATTTATCTATAAATGTTATATATCATAAAGATACGAAATGACTTTATCGTGAGTAGAATCTTTTTTTTTCTCGTGATTACTATAGCTCGATATACGCTGATTGATGATGGATTCACGACGCGGAGAGAGGGGGGAGAGAGAGAGAGAGAGAGAGAGAGAAATGCGTAATAATTATGCGTGTCAGGACCATTCATAAAACTGGATCCTCCCGAGTGGCGCGTGAAAGCTCGCGATGGCGAACAGTGAAAGTTTCGTGGAAAGCGATAGCGTTTCGTACGGAGCGTTACGCTCGATTACTGAATTCGGTTACTGAGAAAATTTATACGCCGCTCAGCTCTACGTAATGTTATGCACGCGCCGATACACGCCGATTTAATTTAATTCCCAACATCACGTCACGTATCATACAAAACCACATTCCAACGTCATTGACGTTATAATGATCGAGTAGCGAAAGAAATCGATAGTAAACTAAATTTAAAAAATATCTTCCGGACGCGTAAAAATCTTCCTGTTCACTTGCAAACGAATCACGACGATCGGTCTGTATTTTCTTCACGGATTTCTCGCATCATAATTAAGTCATGCCGATTTCATGATTTAGCGCGTTTAGCAATTTAATCACATGCTCATATGCAGATTTGTCATACGTATGTTCCAGGTATCGCCGGCCTGTTTACCGTGTTTTCCAGCGTGGTGTTCACCTCCGGCGTAGTGAACTTCGGCCGCAGCGACGTCGCAGACTTGAAGTAAGCGCGCCGTTTTATATATACATTTAAGGAAAATAATGCTTCTCTCACCCCCGTGCGACTGACGAAACGTTATTGCTCTCTTCCAGAGACGCCTTATTTTTTTTTCTGCTTCTTATCGATCTCACGAAGGCCGCGACGTTAGCGCGGTACGCGCTAAGCTCGCGGAATCAAGAGGAAGTCAAAGCGAACATCGCGCGCGGCATGTCCCTGCTGGGACCGGCCATCACTCTGGACACCCTCGTGGAGACCCTCCTGATCGGCATAGGATCCTTGTCGGGCATCAGAAGGCTGGAGATCCTCTGCACCTTCGCGTGCCTCGGCGTGATCGTCAACTACATCGTCTTCATGACATTTTACCCGGCCTGCCTGTCGCTTATACTCGAGGTATGGTAGGCTTAATTTGACGTTCTCGTCGGAACGACCGTCTTTCCCGCGCTTTTACAACTCTTCTCCCAAATCGTCTCGCGTATATACATTTCGAGCGCAGAAAGCGTAACGCAGCGAAATTAAAAGGCACCGATTTGAAGGAACGTCTATCATCTACCATCGTCAGGAAAAATTTGATACTGTCAAACATATCGAACGCATTGCATCAAATGTCCAAATATATAAAAAATAATTGCGTCATATTTTTCATTGTTTAAAAATATAAACAAATTAAGTTCGTCGAGGTTTTAGAAATATTATTCCAAGACGCAGAGATATTATAATATAAAATCAAGAAATCTTCGAGAAAAAAAACGAAGAATTTAATTGTCCAATATTTCTCTTATTATATTTTAAATGTTTATTCGCCATAGTAGGACAGGGTAAAGGACGCCATTATATTACAGCTTTCTCGCGGGAATAATAATATGGGCCAATTGAGCGCGGACAAGATATTCATAATGCAGCCATTAAACGAGGAGGATCAAAAGCCAAATCCTGTGGTGGAGCGAGTCAAGATGATTATGATCGCCGGTCTATTCGTCGTGCACGCGAACAGGTATACATATTTTTATTGTCTCTCACGATGATACAATAAGAAGAGAACTCTTCGTTTCTTGATTATATTCGCAAACTTGAGAATATAAAGCGCGGTTGAGTACAATGTATATCGTATATATGCGCGGCGGAGAACAGGAAACCGTGGCCGGAGATGCTATTGTGCGTTCCACAATGACTCCCATTACTTTTTTTATATTTGCGCCGCTTTTGTTGAACAGTTTGTGACGCCTAATTTCACGACGACGTCAGGTCATCTGTGTGTGTCATTAGCATTTGGACTTATAGACTTCTATTCAATAACTTATTCATATTCAATGAAGGTGTTCGGTGTAGGAAGGAAGATCTTCTCGAACAAAAAGTTTGGGCATTTTTTTCAAAGGGTTATCGGTATCGCGGTATAAACGAAACAGATCTCGCAACGCCGGCGGAAAAATTATTCATATTTTCATCATCATTTTCGTCTTGAATGGATATTTACGAAGATAGGAGGCGAAATTGCATCGTAAAATTCTAAATATGCCTTTGAAAAAATCATCCTTGTAACGGTTTTTTTTTTGTGAACTTTTAGATCGAATTGCAAATATAAGAGATAAAAAAAATAAAATATTATGCGCAAGTATTAATTTGGTAACCTTGAATTTTGTTTTCGATAAAGAACTAATAATAAGACTGCTTTCAGAAAGCGCGCTATTGACGTCACTTTGTTATTTTATCTTGATCATTCGTTAAACGTAAGACAAGGACAAAACGAAATGATGCACTAGCGCTGATAGCGCGTTTCCTGAACGCAAAAAGCACTTCTTTTTCGTTGCGAAAATGTCGCTACTCATCATTGATATTGTTGAAATAACAAAACGGATTAATTCGACCTATAACATATTATACAATTTCATCTTTATACATACCAATAGTTATACAATAATGTAAATATTTTTCAATATTTAAAGTATCGAGAGAGCTTATACGCTTTCGTTTACGAAATCCGGCATGAATGGCGAAGAGTACTTTAAATATTGCATGAGAAACGCGTTTAATAATAACGCGCGTACAAAAGATCGACTGTCGTCCATACAGAGTAAAATGAGAATCCAAAAATAAGTGACATCATAGGGTGGTGGTGGTGGTGATGGTGGTGGTACAGAATTCTTTCGGTATTCTCTCCCCGTTTGTATGCCAGTTGTCATTCTGGATTACGTTTTAGTTTGCGAAAAAGTGTTGCGGCGTTCGCTTCGCATTTTCATCAAAACAACTTTCTCTCTTTCATTCATTAACATAACGCTAATTACATTGCAGTGTGTATATGTGTGCATAAAAGGCAATTTTTTAATATCTCATTAGATTTCAAAAATACCTTTACACAATTACAATTTGCAGTGCCAATTATATCATTGTGTTAGAATTGTGCATTTTCGTCAATATTCACGTTGCATTGGCAAAAGAAAGATATAATAAATTTATGTTTACAATCACATTTATAATTACGGAATGTAATAATATAATCGCTTGTCTTGTACATAGAAAAAAAATAATATAAAATGTATATATATATATTTTTTTTTATTTTATTTTATGATATAATATCTGTTCTGCTTTATAATTGTCCAGATTAGATTGTTTCAATTTATTTATAATTTTGATTTATATTAATTGCTTGTCCCACATTGCAGCCGTTGGCCCTTTAAGAGCGAGGAAGGCGAATATACGGCAAAAACAGTGGCAACATCCACGAATTCGGACTCGATAAACGGTTCCGATCATACCGAGAACTCCGAGTTGAAGGAACACCTGATGACTTGGCTGTCAGCCAGCGCGGACAACATTGTGATACTGATACTGCTGTTAGCGCTGGCGATAAAGTTCATCTTCTTCGAGGATAGAAGCGACGTGGTTTCTAGACGGCTGAGATTCAAAGAAGAGGAGGAAGAGGAGAAGGACGCGACAGTGGAGGAGAAAGTGGAACTTCTCGACGGTCCCGCCAATCTGGACGATATAGATACCACTATGAACATATGGTTACGAGAACGTTTTGGCGTTACGTTACCAACGACGATCCAAGAGAAGCCGGTCTTTCCTCTGTCCGGCGTGGGTGGTGGATGGGGTGATGAGAACGATGTGGAGTGCGTCGATAAGGAGGTGCAGACTGACACGATATACCATGGCGCGAGCGATTCCGGCGAAATTGATTCGTCGCCAAAGAGGCTTGAAACTCTCAGGAGCGTGGAGGACTGTCGCGAGATATATAATTCAGAGGTAAGAGAATAGTAAGGAAATTATTTTCTTTTTCTTCTTCTGAGTCCTTTTACTCTTGTCAGAACACGATGATCCCTCTTTGTATTTTTGCGATATGCAAATAATTTATTTGCGCTATTTATGTACAATTTTACGCAAATGGGTATACGGGAACTACAGTTTAACGTCGGTCTTAACTAATTAGAGGGGTTCTCATGGCAAGATATACTCTGAGAGGTAGTGATCGAATAAATATGTTTTCTGATTGGATTTGAAGCCGAGTCTTCGGCACAATTGTGGCGCAGAAAGCAGACGCATATCTTCACACAGAAAGATGTGCGTCTGCTTTCTGCGCCAATATATATATATAATTATTTTATATATTTATATATACACGCGCAATATAATAATTATAAATGTATTATTACATAAGCTTGGAGCCAGTGCCTTGACGAACGAGGAAGTGATACAACTGGTGAGAAACAAGGACATAGCTGCGTATCAGTTGGAAAAAGCGGTGGGCGACATGGAGCGCGGTGTCGACATTAGACGTCTCGTCGTGGGTGCTGCCGGCAGATTCACCGAGGAGATGACCAATTTGCCGTACAAGCACTATGATTACAGCAAGGTATTCGGCGCCTGCTGCGAGAACGTGATCGGCTACGTGCCCGTACCGGTTGGTATCGTCGGCCCGTTGCTGATCGACGGCCAGCTGTATCATGTGCCGATGGCGACGACGGAGGGCTGCCTGGTGGCGTCCACCAATCGCGGCAGCCGCGCACTCCTAAAGTGCGGCGTGACCACCCGCGTTACGGCGGACGGGATGACCCGCGCGCCCGTGGTACAGTTCCCGGACATTGTGCGCGCGTGCGAGGCGATGTCGTGGATAGAACAGCCGCAGAACTTTCAAGAGCTGAAGGACAGCTTCGACGAGACCAGTCGCTTCGCTCGTTTGAAGAAGATCCACCCGCGCATAGCCGGCCGAGACCTGCATCTACGCTTCGTCGCCACGACCGGCGACGCCATGGGCATGAACATGCTGTCGAAGGGAACGGAGAGGTCTCTGCAGACGTTGCAGACCTACTTTCCGGACATGGAGATACTCTCCCTCAGCGGGAATCTCTGCACCGACAAGAAGCCCGCGGCCGTCAACTGGATCGAGGGGAGGGGCAAGAGTGTGGTGTGCGAAGCGATCGTGCCCGCGGACGTCGTGGCGTGCGTGCTGAAAACTTCGGTGCACGACCTCGTCAAGCTCAACAACAAGAAGAATTTAACCGGTTCGGCCTTGGCAGGCAGCATAGGCGGCTTCAACGCGCACGCCGCCAATATCGTGACCGCGATTTTCATCGCCACCGGACAGGATCCCGCGCAGAACGTTAGCAGCAGTAATTGTTTAACGTTGATGGAACCGTGGGGCGTGGACGGCAAGGATTTGCGTATAACCTGCACAATGCCCAGCATAGAAGTCGGCACGGTGGGCGGTGGTACCGGTCTCCCGGCGCAAGGAGCGTGTTTAGCGATATTGGGGATCAAGGGTGCGCATCGCACGCACCCCGGCCAGAATGCCAAAAGACTCGCCCGAGTTGTCTGCGCCACTGTGCTTGCCGCCGAGTTATCCTTGATGGCTGCGTTAGCCTCCGGAGATCTGGTCAAGAGCCATTTGAGGCATAATAGGTACGTGATTTGAGCGTGTCTCATTGAATTTATACTCATAAATATGATGAACAACTGAAACGAGGATCTATATAGATGTAGTATTTTATTAGAATTTTCTCTTGATCAAAATTTATTTTTAGAGAGTTTAACAGTTTTTTTTTCTTAAAATGTATAAACATTATTTATTAAAATAGCCAATTGAAGTTGTTCATTTCCATTTAAATTTATATAGCGTTACGAAAAAAAAATTTGTAAATTACGTAATTGCGAATTTGAAACAGTTTGGCGATAAGACTCAAATTATGGATACAACTGTTAGTTACTGTTAATAGCTGAACATTATTTTGCAAGTAACTGATTTGCACGTTTCTCTTTCTGTTTGCAGATCGTCTGTCCTAATTAGTAACCCGGTTCATACTACTCACAGTAATGATAGTAGTGGTGGCGACAGGCTAACCGTGCCAAACGTTGTGCCGTAAAATCTTTGTGCAGAGTTTGCGTAAAAATTTTAATGGCAAACGTATTTTCATAATTTTTGTATGATGCGGCCTGTTGTTTACGTATCTGCGTTTCGCACTTGCCTCATTTAGTGTTCCAAAGAAACAATTAGTCAAGTATGAATGTTTCTGTTGTATGCGATGAGATGTAGGTCGAACCATGTGTATATTATTTCTATGTATATATGTATATGGAAGGAGAAGTATCGCGGTGTTTTCGACGGAAACGATCAACAGTCTCTCCCTAATGGTGCTGTAATGTAAATAATAAACTTTTTAATTGTTCCCAAGTTCCCAAGTCTGTTATATTAATATCGGGATTTAATTCGTTCATCAAATTAAACGTCGTATTCGAAAACCGAGCGAGTGCGAATTATAGCGGAATAATAAAGATAAAAATGAAACTTTTATTTTTATTATTTATGTATTACAATATGCATAATTATAATACATAAATTTTATTGTAGTTCATATGTTATAATGTATGAATTATAATTATGTAGTCGCGGAGCGAAGTTAAATTTTCCTGATAAGTTTTTTCGAAAATCTGTAGGAAAAATGACGATAACACAATTTTAATTGACTAAGGTCTTAACAAGGATTAAACAATGGACAATAATGATTATTAAATTATACTGATTTCACGATCGTTTTGCGTCGTCTGTTTACATTTTTTTCTCGGAAATTTTTCCAGCAAGCATGCAATTATACATTCATTATACAATATCGAATGATATTTATTATAATCGAATGAAGCAAAAGAATTAAATAAAACCTATCTCAACTGAGTTTTTTTACATGATCTCACAAATATTGCTTAAGCATGCCTTTTGAATATAAAAACTTAATGTCCTCCCCCTTAAATAAAGAAAAATTGTTAGACGAGGAAAGTGCAAAATCATGTCATTCCAATGTAAATACAAAAAATAGCAAAATAAATAATTTCTATATTTCATAAATTGTATTATAAATTATAATTCTTTTATATTGTAAATGAGATAGGTTTAATTTGAAAAACACATTTATAAATAAAGATTTATTATGTAAGATTTAGAAACTTATAAATATAAAAATTAATGACAAACCATAAATGAAACCATAAAAATTAATGACAAAAAAAATGTCAAACCATAAATGAAACCATAAAAATTAATGACAAAAAAATAATTTATCATATCTTTTATTTAAATCTAATTTTTGTAATATAAAAAAAGGTGTATAAATCGAAGTTACATTGATCAACAGAGTACTGACGATGAATACTGATATCTGACGCATTTAAATTTTCGCGAGAAAAAACGAATTCCTTTTCAAAGACTTATCCATAAGATCATCGTGCTCGAGGGATAAAATCATATTTTCTCTCGCATAATTTAAAATTCACACATGCTATCGCATTCGGACATTCACATTTTTTCGTACGTATCCTCGTAACCGCACGACGTGCAAGTGTGTGTATAAGTATCGTCCTCTTCGTTATACGTGTCCTCCCCGAACTCGTGAACGTGCGACGCTTTGGTCGTCTTATCGTACACGGAGCTCCGCACTTGCATTCGCAGCTGTTTAATCTTTATTTCCGTGAAACATATAAAACATTTTTCAGTCAACATGATAGGATTGTATTAAAATCACGTGTGTGCATTAGTACAAATTACGGTATGTACCTTTTTGTTGAATTTCTTGATCTTCACTCCCTCCCGCTTCACATCGCGCGCTTCCTTCTCTTTCAACAGGTTTTCCTCCGAGCCCCAAACCTCCAAGGCCCTCTGTTCTATCTGCAGATGCAGGTACAACTTCATCTCGCCCCAATGCGCGTTGTGAGGATTCTTTCGCACGATGTACCTCAGCACGGGCTCCCGCCGATCGAGATCGCAATCCTTCAACAGGTATTCTTGTTTAGCTTCGGTTTTGGTGATCAAGGAGTGCTTTCCCTCTTTATCTCTGGAACAATTTATAACGTTTACAATATTCGCGACTTGTCACGGTCAGCGAGAGGCCACGCGGAAGAGGAAACGAATACCCATACAAATGAAACTGTTCACTGGCGCTACCTGCACTTATCACAGACAGTCAGATCGAACGTTTGCAAAAGATATGATTCTTTAAATTTCTGCCGACACTCCTCACACTCGTGCGATATGCCAATATCTGGTGACGGCTCGGTTGCAATCTTCATCTAAATAAAGAAATGTACATTTATTGTAACGATATATATGATGCAACGATGCATAGATATAATCACGTATATATGTGTTGTATACCATTTGCTGTTCTAATTCATCGTTTTCCTCTATCAGGAAGCCTCCACCGCTATCGATAACACGCTGCCCTTGGACTTTTAGCATTCTCCCTTTTACAGAGTCACCATTTTCTCTAGAATCACATTAATAATAATTAATATTAATAAGAATGACTAATCAAAATCTTAGAGGAAAAAAAGGTTTATTTTAAAACTGTAAGATTAAAACTATCAAATTGATCAATAAAGAAAAAAAATTCTTTTGCATTTTACATAGATAAGTTAATTAACTATTTCATGTGCTTATACATTTAACACATACCTAGCATACGGATGAGTTACAACCTTAGATTTTCTTAACAAGAGTGCTCTCTGACGATTTCTTTCGGCTCTCTCTTTGAGCTGTTTCTCAATCTCCATGTTGTCTGCGTTCTTGTTAGAATTATTTTCCATACTTGCCGTACTAGCCATTTTTTAATAAAACACTAAATTCCCGTGGGTGTATCTTGTATCGACGACGTGTCTCTGAAGGATTATATCCTGAAAATAAGCAAATGTATATGAACGTTCGCCAGTTACGTTATTTTTTAAAATTGTAAACATTCAAAGGATATTGTGTATAGAAATTTATTTCAGCCTCTTAATCGTAAACAAATTTTTTTTTCGTTTTACACCACCGGTCGGTAGATTATAGCGCTTTCAACTGCCTTCAACCTTTTTGCAAGGTTATATAGCGCACGTAAACAAATTTATCAAACAAAGAGGTTAACGTAATGCTTAGATAAATTTGATAAAAATACCAGAATTTTTGATAGTTTTAACAGCTCGACGAAGAGTGTCATAGCGCCGATGTTTATTCGAAACGTTACATAATTAGGATTACATGCAAAATCAAAATGCAAAAGTGAAACGCCGCGTCCCGTAATAATGAGGTTACTCGCCAACACTTTGAGTCATTCATGCACTTAAAGCTTCATGTCATGCTGCAAAAATAATACTGAAGAACTCGCTTCGTGACAAGTTATAACGTCAATTATGACATAAATGGAAATACCTAAAGATCCAAATTATTCAGAGCAAAGCTCTCACAATCAGTAGTTCTATGCGGTATGTACGTTTTGACCGGTTCGCTGATTTGCTCTGACGCTCTGTCATATATTGCACTGCATTGCACTTCCTACACTTCAAAATACACGTGGATAGCTTGATGTTTTAAAGGCATATGTCCATAAAATTAAATAACCGAAAAGTTAAAAGAAATTGTTCCATTTAAGACGATTAAAGAGTTTTTCCGTAAAGACCTGCAACATGTTAATAACATACTCAAAACAGAGAATCAATCTGCATGAAAAATCGGCAATAAACTGGAAGAAATGCGAGCAATAATTGACTTTAAATGTCTTTTTAGGTAGGAATTTTTTTTAGTATTTAAATAAATTAAAGATTTGCATGAAAACACGCAATGGAATTAAAAACAGAACGCATTTAAAAGATAGAAGAATTTTATTATAATTTCGTAAAATTGTCGACTTAATCCTGTTTTTGGCTGAAACCGTATATTACAATAATGCCAATCGAAGCTTCCTTATTTTATTCTAACTTAGAGCAATACTAATTTTATAGATCTACACTTCAGAGTCCGCAGATTCGCGATCACAAACTGAATTCATAGACTTCGTTGTATGTACGTGTGTGATGATCAAGTGATCATTGCTGCATAATATTGATACTTCGAATATTCACAAACACGATTATTTACAAAACGCATGCTGCACCGACTAGACAGATTGCTGTTAAACGGATTGTTGAACGCGTATTATACTGAGATACGACAGTTTGTAAAACGTCATTAGTTAAATGCATGCGCGGAAAACTTAATTATTTAAAAAAAGTCACTTGAAAACTAGTGACAAGTCGATGTAATACACTGTACTTATTTTCCAGATTGTCAGGAAGATAAACAAGACACCATATCTAATTTCGAGCTGATATTTCAGTTAAGTCAGCAGAATGATAATTTTCAATAAATCCTCTTCTCAATAACTTTAAACGTATCTAAACAAATACATTGCAAAATATTCGTGATGTAACGTTGTGATGTGAAATGCGTTAAAGCGGAGGAAAGGCTTTTTGGTCTGTTCTTTTTTTTTGACTGTTTTTTCCTTCGCCCAAAAAGAGAAAAAAAATATATACTTACACGAGAAGAGAGGAGAAAGTAGGGAGGAGAAAGTGAAGAGAAAGGAAGAGAGAGTAAAATTGAAAGAGAGGTACTTTGTAGTAAAAAAAAAAAACAGACCTTTTGTATACGACGCACGTGTAAATGATTGCACTTGCGTCATCGAAGAGAAGAGACAACTGGCTCGCGAAGGGAAAGTGAAATCTCGAACTTCCCTCTACTCCGTGTATTACGTGGAAGTTTTGCGTATCAAAATCTATCAACGTTCCCGAAAACGATCTCGAAGGACAAAGAGGATCGTATTGAATCGTCGATATCTCGTCGCGATGCTAAAATACCGATTCGTTCGCCCCGAACGCGTGCTAGAAGGTGAATTTTGCACACGCGTGAATCGGCCCGGTTGTTTCGGAATTCTGTTAGAGAAGAATGGTCGAGGCAGTCCGCTTCAGCTCTTCTTGCCGTAAAACTTCCGATTCAGCAGGTACAGGAGCAGATTCACATTGACCTTGGCTTTACCGAACATGTCCATGTAAGGTCTGCTCTCGTACTGCAGCTCGAGCAGCTCCTCTATGCTGATGTTGAGCTTCTCCAGCTCGACGCCCATGAACTTGCAGCGCACGACGAACACGCCGCTATGCTCGGTCGGGCTTATCTCGAAAATCATGTTCTTCATCTCCGTCGGGCTCAGCGCCTGGTCGACCTCCATCAGCACGCCCTTCTCCTGCAGCTTCCACGCGGAATACCTCACCGTCATCTTCGATCGCAGCTTGCGCTGCGTGTACGCGTCCTGCTGCGCGTACTTCTGGTACGCGCGTAGCGAGCTCTTGCCGCTGTGCAGATTCTGGAGGCAGCCCTTTATGTACTCGTTGTAGAATCCGATTTGCTCCTGGTAGTACCGCGTCTTCTCGTCCAGTCGCTCCTTGGTCGCCCGCAGCGTCTGCAACTCCTTGTCCCGCGCGATGCGGTACTTGCTCTTGTTGCAAATATCCCTCGCTATCGCGGTCACGATTGTCTGATAACCGTCCACGCGACTGATCCATCCCTCGAGCTCGAGCTTGTTGAGGTACGCGCGCAATTGCATCTTGCAGTCGTTTATAGATGAACTTTCGCGAACTGTCGGCGATACGGACGAGTAGTCGAACAGCTTCACGCACATCGGGGAGGATGTGGTCTCCAGAGACTCCACGAGGGTCGACTTCTTCAGGAACGGAATAACCGACACGAGCAACTCCTTCGCCTTTACGAAGAGATTGCTCAGATTCGTGTCGTCGTTCCGCGGCACCTGGAATTTGTTGGTCAGCACCAGGCACACCTCCTGCTTGCTGTACCGCGCCAAGTTCGCGTCGTACGTCGCTTTGGATATCCCGAGCAAGGACGCTACAGTCGGCGCTGGGCCCAGCTCATCCAACAAATCATGCAGAGAATCGGACGGGTCCGGTGCTATTTGATCCTCGTAATTCAACATCAAGGCGTGCATCTCGCATATCTCCTGCAGGGATATGCAGATCTCCGGGCTTTGTATGAGCGTCGCCTCCGTGTACTCGTGAATATTGAAGTGCTCCTCGAGATCCTCCACTTGGCAGCAGTACCGGAAGAAGTCCTTGAACTTCTCGTGACAGGCAATAATGAACTGATTCAAGCATTCCAAGTGCGGCGCCTCCTCGCCGAAGCCTTTCTTCGAGGTGGAGAATTGCAGCACCTTGGCTATACTCGCCAGATTCTTCCTCTGGCAGGAGGACAACGTTCGGTCGACCGGCAATGTGACGATGTCGAAGGTGTCCGGTGCCACGATCGCGGCGTTGATGAAGTGATAGTAGATCAAATTGCCGACCGCCTTCAGGATATCCTTCTCGGGAGCATGCGGGAACTTCTCCATCAACGTGTTGTACAGGACCTTCGAAACGTAGAGCATCCCGTAAGGGATCAGGTCGCGGGACCGCGTTATCCTGTCGAGAAACTCGAGGGATATCTTCTTCAATTGATTGATCGCCCTCGTGAGCGACTCCTGCACCGGCGGGTATTTCAGCGCTTGTTCCTGAGACACCGCATGTGGCATATCCAACGACTGGCCGCGTTCCATCTCCAGCTGATTCCGCCAAAGCTTGTATATGTCCACCGGATTCGTCTCTATGCACAGATCCTTTTCTTCCAGAACCTTCTCGACTAACGGGCCTACGAGCTGCTTTAACGACGCCTGACCGTTGAACTGTTTCGCGTAATTGACCACCATCTCGCGGACCAGAGGCTTGCCGGTCAGCACGTCGGAGGGCTGATGGCAATTGCACCTGATCTCCTCTCTCAACGCGCAACCGAAGAGTTTCAGCAGCAAATAGTCCTCCCGAGTGTTCGAGCCGAAATTAAACAGCGTCAAGATGATGTTCTTCAGGAACAGCTTGTTCGACTTGTTGCTAGGCGGCAAATACAACAGCTTGGACAAATATTGCGGATTCGTTTGCAATGCGTAAAACAAGTGCTGATAGCCTTCCAGCATCTTGCGACCTTCCTTCGTTAATGATTTGAGACCTCTGTGCGCCATCGTGGCAATGTCGTTTAAAGAGTTTTGATCTTTGCTCGCGTTCTTCTCCTTCGCAAGAGTATCCAGATTTTTGCCGTGCGCCACCACGTCCTAGACAGAAACGCGATATTTTTTTTTTTTAGCAAAATTTTGACCTAAATTTTGTAAACGTTCGACTGAATTTCAAAAAATATATACCTGTAACGCTATTCTGTTCTGAATCAGTAATCCTATTTTGACGAACATGCTGTTCAATTGCTCCGACAGATTCTGATTGTGCTTTATAGATTGAACGACCTTGTACTTTAATTTCTGAAACAAACAACGACGATAAGAGCAGAACTGTGTGATACGCAAGAACAGAGATATGTGCAAGTGATCTACGAAAGCTATCGCGTACTTGTAATTCTAGGTCCTTGTCATAATCCTCGGCGCTAAAACCCAGTACCGTCGAAAAATATCTGATCACAGGAAACGACGGTTTCTCCGAACGCAATAAGGAGCGAAAGGCTTTCCTTGACGCTCGGCCACGCCAGAGAGCTTGTATCTTAATTATTTTATCCTCCTATGTGATAAAAAAAAAAAAAAAATTTTATAAAAATAATTTTACAAGAAATGTAACTATTTTTTTAAATATTTACAAAAGCTTACGTGTCTTTTATAATAACTTAATCTATCGCTCTTGTCGTTTGCCCTTCCGTTTAATAATTTATTTTGATACACGTTATCCTTATTTGTTTCCGCGTTTAAGAATTTCCTTTGATTTAACAACATATTTTGTCTCCTCTTCAACAGTTTACGATATTGTTTTCGCTGCCTCACGCCCCTCCACCACGCTTGTATCGTGACGATTGCTCGCAGATTATCGTCGAAATAAGCGTATCTGTCAGCTATCCTTTTCCGCAACAAATATCCTCTGGTATAAGCTTGAAGTTTAATAAGCGATTTTTTATCGTACATTGTAGAATCTTCGTCACGTTTCCCTGCTAAAATAGAGTTAATTGTTTCCTAGGGGAATAAAAAACGAGATTAATGATACGTATTTTTAGTCAGGCATGATACTTCAAGAGAACAAATACATACATTTATATCGTCCATAGTGAGATGATGAGTTTTCGTAAAATTTCTGGGTTGCTCCCACGTATAATTTCCAGCTTTTATATTAAAATAAATTTTATTTCCTTTGTCGGTGATATAGCAAATATATGGGCAGTTGTATATTTCGCGCTGCAGTACAAACGAAATGTTAAACAATACGTATAAAATATATCTTGTTTTCTGTTATTAAAAAAAAAAGCCTTACCTTCCGCCTCTGTAACTGCCGCAATGCCAGAAAACATCTCTCTCGACATTCTTCAGTAAGTTCTTTAAATTTTTTATCAAACGTTTCCAGGCAGTCGAGAGTTTCTATTATATTATCCTGCTCCAGGAACGTATTGACGTCGCATAAAATTACTATCACTGCAACGCATTGTAAATAAAAATAGATTGTATATTTGTTAGAATTGTTTTTCTCATAGCATTTTCGGCCCGAGCGGGTTTGACCCTCCGAGAGCGATTAATGACGTCGCATGCTCTATTTTAGATTTCTGATTGGACGGGGAGAGCATGTAACGTCGTTAACTTCGCCCTCGAAGCGATCGAACTCGCTCGAGCCGAAAACGCTATAATTCAGTAGAGTCGAATGAAAACGAAGCATTTGAGAACGTAAGACATACTTTCTTGCATTTCCTCGAGCTCCGATGCCACTGTCTTCGCTACAGCTTCGACATCGTCCAGCCACAGTTCAGATCCGTCCGATTCTTTTTCAAGTAAACGTTTCTTAAGCAGCTTGAAGTAAAACGGTGCGTCGTACGGATACGTAGGTATATCGTACCTCTCGGTAATCCTTTTTACGGCTTCCATCATACCCTCGTGATCGTTCGCCGCTACAGCTCGATTAATTTGTTGCAAGTTCGTTATAACTATTAAACAAAATTAATTGCAAAATTATATTCATACAATAATACATGTGGCATATATAACGAACGTAGTCGTACGATCTGTGCGTGGCGATTTTTGTTTATACCTTCAAAATCTTCGTCGCACTGTACGTTTACCGAATCGATGCATTCCTGAATGTCGCTGTAAGTCAATATAGAACATTCTTGGGACGCTCGCAGCTTTGCTTGCCGAGCCGCTGCTAACGCTTGAGCATACTTCACTTTATTATATTCGTCCAATTCCTGTAACAGTTACGATAATAACATATATATTCAAATATGTTAAAATAATTGAAATAGTTCGTTTCTAAGTCAGCAAAAAAAAAATAACTGTTGTTATACTTACATCTAAACGTGCGTCAGGATTCGATAGCTTCTCGTACACGAAATCCGGATTTCCCGTATCCACCGCTTTGGTAATAGCGGCAATAGCAGATAAGACAGGTATACAATCGACTATGTCGTTGTAAGTGATATTTTTCTATCAGCAAAAAAAATCGTATCAATTAAAATTTTTCTAACACAAGAACTATAAAGACAAGAAATAATAATAAAATACGAGAGAGCATACGTGATCTTACCCAAGACTCTGTACAATCTTCCTTCATCTCCTGATAATACAACGGAAATGCAAACTCATCGATGCATTGAGAGATTTCCAGACACAGGGTTTGCAAGGTCTCGTAAAACTTTTTTCTGTCCGCAGATTTTAAAGCCATGTTCAAACGTTCGACAGTTTCGTCTCCTGTGACACAAATGAGGATTGTAAATAAAGGGAGTTTGTAAAAACTATCTAAAATTTATACATATATTAATCAAATAATACTAACGTTTGCAACGTCGCTGCGCGTTCTCGTTTCCTCTGTTAATCGCATTCTGAAACGTGTCTGTCCAATACTGAATGCTTTCAGATGGATATTTGTCATTCCAGTTGAATTTATCCAACATTAGCATTAGTTGTTCTTTATAATCTTCAACATTTTCAGAAAATACATCCTGTGGAACGATATACACAACGTTATAATCAACATTTTAGTAAATAATTGACATGTTACATGCAAAAGAATACTTTTTACTATACCTTGAAAGATAATGCCGGCACTTTCAAAGCAGCTATTATTTCAGCGTTGTCACGTGATAAAGACGAAACGATGACTTCCAATGCGCAAGAGGCTGAAAAATATATATTTTTCGTTACAAGTTGAACTGGATACAATTTTGTCAATAATCATCGAAATCTGACGATATTTACCATTTACATAATTAATGTGCCCTTGTATCTCTGCTTGTGTTAATAATTCGTCGTATTCATCCGCCACATAACTGTCGTTAAGGGACTAAACAACATTATATAAAGTAAAAGATTAATGAAAGCAACTAAACGTAAATATGCGAAATAATGTGCAATAATAAAAAAATACCTTGTTAAGTGCCGCCTCTGTTTTTGCGGCTTTAGCTTCCGACAATGCCTTGGTATATTTTTCTATGTAAGCAGGTTCAACGTTGCTTAAATGCATCTCTTTACTTCGAAGTTTTCGTAAAATTGTATCGTTATCCTAAAAATACACAATTATATTGATACAAAAATATTACAAATGCAAAATCGCTTTCACAACGAAATGAAACAGGCTTACGTTATCTATCACAGCTTGATTAATTGCGATCACAGCGTCGTGAAGAGTGGCTGTGTCCGTAGTAATGTTGTTAGTCAATAGACCTCCTATTTTTTGAAAAGCGGGTATTTGAATGCCATGTCTTTGTAATTCTTTAGTAACAGTGTCGATTTCTTCCTCTGAAAGAATATGATAAACGGGTATAAAAATATAAATGTCTCTGTATGTGCCCCAAAACTGAGAAAGAGAAAAAAATAGATATCCACAAAAAAATACATTTCAATTTATATTTAAAGAAATAGATATTCAAATCATGTATTTCAATTTATATTTAATAATTTTTCATTTTCTAAACCTATCATAAAAAATAAAGTGCATACCGGAGAAATTTACTTTTCCATACAATTCTGGCATTGGAGGTGCTTTCCCATATTTAAATAAATGCTTGCTAAGAGCATGGATACAATATATCAGTCGTGGCATATTCTTCTTATCATAGATATCTGTTGTTTCTGGCAGGAATATCTGTAAAAGACAAATTTTGTAAATTTATTTTTATGTTGGATATATATTCCATATATACCAGATACATAATTATATATATATATATATATATATATATATATAGAACATTGCAACAATATATTCTCTTGTTACTAAGACTATTTTGTACATACCAACGGTAGTCGCTGGGATTCCAAGCATTTCAGAAAATAATTTATATTGTCTGTATGACGAAACTGCAATCCCGCAGATTTATATCTCCGCTGTTCGGTGTCATAGATTTTATTCAATGGTAAAATATTGGGTGCCATAAAGTGACCAAGTTTGGCCAGGTATACTCCATTACGAAGATTCTCCTCCAGCTCGGTCGATGGAGGTAACTGTTCCCTCAAGCAGGATTCCATCCATCTGAAGAAGAAAATGAATGCTAATCTTTTTAGATATATTTTTTTAAATAAACATAAATCTTTTTCAATTAATATAAATCCTTTATAAAATAAATAATAAATATATTTCATATATATATATATCCATTGTACTTTACTTTTTAGCTTCTTCCAAGTGACAGAGATAGAGATACGACAGATCTCTTTTACGTTCCTCGTCCATGTCCTCTGCAGAGATCCTCCCGTCTTCTGAAATATATTTATATAACAATTCTAAATATTCGAGAGTTCACGTTCAGTAAAAAATGGATGTACCATTCTCACATGTCGAGGTATATTCAAATTCTTTCTTCATTATAATGTCAATATTAAAAAAAGTTTTTTCTGAATACACCGTTCCATTGCTCTCAAACTTAATCGCATATACGCACGTGCAAAATTCATAATCAATTATTACGTGCATACGCAATAAAATTAAATTATTTGAGATTATAATCTCGTTGGCGCTCAACGAACTTTCAACGAGTGCAGTCAATGAGATGACAGAAGTCAAGTCGTTTGCAAGTAAATTTTGTACACGTATATCCCAAAATTAATTAGTACGATAAAACAATGCAAGCTTCCTCACCCTTTCTGTCCTTCGTCAAAATGCCAGTCACGTTTATCATCCTGGCGAGAGAGAACACGGGCACGATTGTCACACGAAAAACCAAGAGCAACAGGTGAAAAACATCGAGCGATACGTTACAAATTCAAATGTATTATCCTCCCGTAGCAGCGCCGATCAGTGCTGACAACTGATGCGGAGCAAATAGATCTCGACGCCTCGGCCATAGACGCTGCACAGATATCTAGACGGGTCCTGTCAGAAGAAGCACAATCGACATTACGAGTCCTGATTGGCTATCGCAAATGGCTAATCTTGAGATGTATTCATCGGTATTACAAATGGCTGCCGAATAAATGTTAAAGCCCGGTTTCACAATTCACGATTCTTGATTTACCGAAGAGATTATTTACAAATTATTTAACCGAAGTTCAATTTGTTGAACTCGGTTGAAGCGCCATTTGTGTCGTTCCACATTTTCCACGACTGACGTAAAAACGATATTTGTGCGGTTACCGAAGATTATTGCTGCAAGAGGCTCTATAAGTAATTTTTACAGTATAATAGCTATATACATATTATTAAAGTATGCAGCACATACCGTAAGAAAGATACATATATTAATAATCAATTTTTTCTGTCTTAGAGTAGGAATGTATTTTCCTGACATCAAAAAATATGAATATGTTGAAAGAGTATCTATAGGCGAGGGAAATCACGTTAAATTTGTCCAACAATTTACGAAAAAAATGTACAGCTCTAGTTTTCTTTGTGGCGCAGCTTGCAGCCATAATATTTATTCTCTCAATAACGAAATATTTGATCCTAGATATTCACTTGCCATGGTATGTATCTTTGCATCATAATGTTATTGTTCTAGAAAGCGATTATAAACTGTCTCAAGTATGGATTTTTGAAATGGTTATCTCATTCCTTTATTTGTAACTTTTCAAGCAACTTTTTATAAAATCAATAATAAATAAATGTGATAAGGATTAACATAGAACATGAAATTCATGAACTATATATAACTCCTAATAATAGCAATTTAATACCACCACCAAATTTTATAGTATTTGACATTTTTTGAATTTTTTTTAAATACAGATAACTAGTAGTTCATGGTGGGCCAAAACACCCTCGAGAGCAATTGATTACATGCCACAGAATAATACAGATGTTGTGAGCCAAGATTATATCGGTAATATTTAAATTGTAATAAGTAAGAGGTTTAAAAAGATCTGTTTCTATTGAAAGGCGAGATTATAATTATATTTTCTATTTTATAGATATCAGGTATAATAAAACTGTATTTCCAATCCGAGTTTCTATATACGAGCTGTCTAATCCTGGGAGTATAATTCGAATTTGGGCACAAGATTCTGAATTTCGGTGGTTTCTCTTGTGGAAAGGACCACCTCAGGTTGTTTCATCGATACCACGGATATTTTCCCCGCCTTTACAACCGTGTAACTTTAGTACCAATATGCTCAGACTAGAGTTTAACCACAGTTTATCGAGCTATAACACAGAGCTAGGTGTTGTATTGCTTATCGGTACAGATACATTAATAATTCCTAAAGATCAGTCTCACAAACAGAATTTAACTAGTCTGTTGAAGAGCTTTAACGACAAGTATCCTTGCTACGAAGACATCCATAATTTGACACCAGATTATGAAAACGCACACTCAGATATAGTCCATCTTAAAAGGACATTGAACGATTATTGCATTATGTGTCAAAGGTATTGCGATTTGTCAATGTTAAGTGATATTTATTTATTTTTATTTTTTTAATAATTAAAGTAATTTTGTATGAATGTTATTTGTAGCGATGTAGTAGCGAATTTTTACGAGAACGAACTGGCGTCTCAGCTAGGACCACCTCTTCAAGAGGCATCTAATAATATGCAGGATTTCTCATCCAAAAAACTTCCAACGTTTATGAAAGATATCTCTTTAGATGAATCCAAGAAGCTATCATGTGGCAATTTTTCTGAATTTCCTGTAAACTATACCAAGAAGTCTTTCTCACTCATAATGATATTTATTGTTATGTTATTATTCCATTTATTAAAATTTCGTATTACTTTGCAGGATGAAGTAATGATAAGAATATTAAGCTACTTAGACTTGAAGTCGTTATGCCGCTTAAACAGAGTGAATAAACATTTCAATAATTTAACACAGGATCCTCTGCTTTACACAAGTTTGAACTTGAAACCATATTGGCATATTATTAATGAAGTGGCATTGTGTAACTTAGCACCTAGATGTAAATATTTACGACGATTGGATCTTTCATGGTGTAACAGCTCTGCCTTGCTTTTTAAAGACTTTCTTGATATTTGTGGTAGTCTCTTAACGCACTTAAGATTAAATTGCTGTTCATATATCGGTGACTCCACCGTGCTTAAAATCTCGAAGATATGCAAAAATATGAAAGGTATGTATACAAATGATTATTATGATTATAAGTCAATTATATGATCGTATATTTTTCTTAGAATTGGGTCTGCGTAGATGTGACTGGATAACAAATAAAGGATTCTCATATCTTGAAAATTTGGAGTTTCTCGAGCATTTAGATTTGCGCGCAACACATATAAAAACTCAAACTCTTTGCAATATACTGCAAAGAAATCCACGGATGCGTCACTTGCACATAGGAAGGGCTTACAATTTGGACGTAGACGTAATTGCAATGGTATTGAAAAACTCATGTCCAGATTTGGAAAGTATAGATTCATGGGGAATTTATACTCTTACATCGTCAGGTATTGATGCCTTCGCTGACTGCAAGAATTTACGAGAAGTGGATTTTAGTTGGAGGTACATATGTGCATTATTTTTTCTTAAAATACGTGTGTCTTATTATGCTTTCAAAATATGAATTTAAAATCCATTTATGGAATGAAAAATCAAACTTAAGACTCGCTAACTAAGAATTGGCAATGATGTTTGTTTCTCTTGTACTTGAAACAGCTGCGTTTTTCTGTTTGTTGATTGAAGGATTGATATAATCATATATTTTTCATTTACAGTGGCGGCGCGATTGGCGATAGCTTCCGTAGGTTGCTTTCCTCCTGTCAATATTTGGAAAAAATGTTTCTAACCGATTTTGATGATTTCACCGAACGCGATTTGACAGCATTGCAAAAAATTAAAACAGTTAGACTTGTCAGGCACGAAGGTCTCTGACAACTGAAATATGTCACTTACTTTTTGTGAGCTGTCCTAAACTGGAAATGATTGATCTCAGCAACTGTGACATTGATTATTTTACGTTTAAGCAGTGGCGACAAAACTATACACATTTAACCATCAAAAAATTCGAATACGATGCGATAATGAATAACGAATTTTAAGATTCACTGTTCAAAAACGATATATATGATTTTGAGAAAATTTTTCAAAATACGCTAAAATATATAATGTACCTTAAATACTTATAAAATGTATTTATATTTCACGTAAATATTTAAATGTGTTGTTATATACCCAGAGCACAAGTTATCTTGACATGAAAATCGCGTCAAAATGGCTTCAGAAAGATAATATATAATATAATTAGAAGTCATTTTTCAATCAGTCATTCAATCATTTAAACTTCACGCGCGTCGAGATGTTCGCGCCAATCCGCCGATCACGAACAAACATGGATGCGTGTCGTAAATGCCCATTTCGTCGCGAGGTGGCGGGACGAGCGATGTGCGTAGCGGTCGCGCGGGCGGGCAGTGTGCCGGGGAGATCGAGGGGGGCTGCACTTCTACCCGATATCCTCTCCGGTGCACCTCCGGCCTAAGGGTGGGTCTGTTCTTCGTGCGGGAGGGGTCGCGTTAGCCGAGCGCGGCCGCGTAACGTGTGGCGAATCGGCGCCGTGAGCATCGCTTTGAGCCGAGCCGAGCCGGTCTCTCGCGCGAACGTAACGGGAAGTGGCGTGGAGGAAGGGCGGCTCCGTCCGCCGTTGAGAGAGATCGGTCCGCTCGCGTGCGGCCCTCGGCGGCCGGTGTGTGACCGACGGGAGGACGGCGGCGACGGCGACGGCGACGAGGACGATCGAAAGCGGATGGAACGCGGCGCTCACCGCGCGCTCCTTCCCTGACTCCCCGCTCCCGTCCGCGCGTACACGAGGAAGAGAGAGAGAGAGAGAGAGAGACAGGGAGAGGCAGGGGCGACAAGCGTGAGGGAGAAGGAAAGAGTAATAGGAAGAGACAGAGACACGCACGAGCCCCCCCGGCACGTAGGTACGCGCTCCAGTCGTTCATGGCTGCGGCTCGGGGTGGGGGAAAACAAGCCGTCTAACGACGTAAGATCCCAAAAGCTCTTTATGCAGGAATATGTCAAGTTTAAAAATCGGTAAGTCCGACCGGCGCGCGCGCGCGCGCGTCATTTTCACTCGCTTCTTGCGCTTCCTCGCACGCACGATTCGTAAGCGCGTAAGGTTGTGTCGTGTGTCGCTCGGCTGTTTCTCCTCCTCGCGAGAAAGGGAGACGGGGAGAGAGAGAGAGAAGCAGACGAGCCTTCAAGAGAACTACGGTCGCTCGTGTAGCGTGAGTCAGTGTCGCCTCTATCACGTCAATTTCCTCTTCTCGCCGGCTGTTTTCCGACTCGCTCGTCGGTGCCCTTTAACTCGCGGAACATGGTGTGAAAATCTCGATTGTGTGATCGTGGATTGCGCGACACCGGGCGACTTCTCGTACACACGACACCGGGATTATCGTCCGTCCTCGTGCTTCACCGCCACGGGTGCTTTACGCCCGCTTTTTCGTCGCTTCTCATTAGAATTTGTATTACGTTCGCCGCTCGCGAGACCAGGAAGGAGAGAACCCGGACGGGCTCGACGACGCCCTCGACACGACCGGCTTTAATTTTCAAAGCCTCGAGGCACTCGCATTCCGCACCTCTTGTTGTGCTTCACGCGAACGCGAGACGCAAGTCGCAAGATGCCGTTCCGGAGCGGCACAGCTGTGCCGTTGCGACACCTCCGACAGATCGTCGCTCGAGAGTGACGTTTGACGATCACGCGTCACCTCCGGTGGCTCTCCTTCCTCCCGGAACGCTCAGGGACGCTCTTTCGCGGAGAAGAGATGGGATGGATGAAGTTGGGAAATTTCGGCATTATCGCATTTCATTTGACGAAACCGATTTCCTGTCAGGTCTTTATTTGATTTATTGTCGGAGAGTCGAATTACTAGATGGAATATATCTCTGTCCTCTGGGATACATTTGATAAATGCGTTAAATATATTACCTATTAAATTTCTCGCGCCGTTTGTCGGTTATATTTATTAGCTTAAGTAGCAGCACATTTTTGTGTCTATCGCATGCATATATATATATATACATATAGGTTTGCATTATAGAGTATCCCGTAATAGATTATACGCTCTCTATAGAAGTATTATTATTATATTAGCATAACTGTCACTCAATTTAAGCAACATAATAGGCGGTATGATGACCGTTGATTTATACGTCGCTTACAGCAGTTTCCAACTGGTTTATAACGTTATTAATCATTGCCTTGAGTTGCTTGCACTTTTGGAAGTTTAAATTAAATTCTGTTGCAGCGTATTCATTGTGACGCAGTTGTTGTTATTTAGAATATATATAGGATATATTGCATGCTTATTTAGACGAATAAAGGTTTTAGAGAAGTAAACGGGCATGTCATAGAGTGCAGTCGTTAACGTATATCGATCGAAATTATTTTATTATTCTCAACGCACTGGAAATTTGTCTCTGGTTCCTCGTAATTTATAATTCTAAACTTGTCAGACTCGAAATTATATACCGTCACGTATGTGTTCATCATTGTAACAGCTGTATCTGAGCGTAGCTATGAAATGACCGTCATTATGACTTTCTTAGGCAAGTAACTTTGTAATATTCGTTGGAAAGTCGCGAATGCCATTCCGCGGGAAATGTGTAACGCACTCTATGACGTGCATATCTCTTTTTAAGTACTATAATAAAAAAAGAGAAAAAAATGAAGTCTTTATACTCGCCCAACTGAATAATCTCGTGCTAATGATCGTTTATTTTGTTTTTCCCCAAAGTGTTGGTAATGCACTTGCTTGCGCTACCCTTGAGAACGATGGATTCTGACCAAAGAAATCAGCGGGTGCATCAGCACTGAACAAAAAAAAAAAAGCAAAATAAAAAGTAAATAAAATAATGAATGCCTGCTGCACTCACGCCGTCGACTCTGTACAAGCAGACTTAAAAGATTTGTTGAAGTAGTACCGTGAGTAGCGGCTACTCACGCCACACTCTCAGCTGTACATACAAAAATCTAAATACATATATATCGTCGTACATATATATGTATTTACTTTTACGCACATGGCAGCCATGAAGCATGGTACGTTTTATTTTTTTTGTACGCTTTGCTTTGTATGTATAAATTTTCCCTTTGATTCACATGTATCGAGACGAAGCTCTCTCTCATCAGGTCTATACATAAGTATTACTTTGATCGCAACTTCTTGCGTAATTTTTTTGTCTGTATTTTGGTAAATTTTATTGTATCTTTTTCGGTCCCCCTGAGAATATTGAGAATTTTTATTTTTGTATTTGTCTTTCGACAATCTCAAATTGGATTGCTGCGTGGGTAATAGATTTTGTGTTAGTTGCGATACTTGCGTAAATTATTAAAGTGTATACTTATTATTTCTGATATTATTTCTCTCTATGAGCAGAATAGTAATTTGTGTGATGATTAAGAACAGTAAGTTTGGTTCCGTCTCTTGTATGTTCTATTATCAAAAATAATGTGATAACCTGATGATCTTGTTAAGAAGCGACGATACGTAAATCTTTTTTTTAATATTCAAAAATTATACAAATCAAAGTTGAAAAGCTGGTAGTTCATAATTCGTAGCAAAGTGTTTTTTTGTGTAGTAAATATCATGTAATAACTAAATGATTATTAAACATTAATAAAAGTGGAATCCTAGTTTTTAACGTAATTATTTCTCACGCGTCTTTCTTATACATTGGTGTGTGCAATGATAAACAGCTGTGATATATATTTCAGGCAAGACGAGTCAAGACGACGTATGTTACGTTGTCGCCAAATATGATTATGGGGCACAGGGTGCCCAGGAGCTAGATTTACGTAAGAACGATCGCTATCTGTTGCTGGATGACTCGAAGCATTGGTGGCGAGTGCAGAGCGCGAGAGGACAGGCGGGCTATGTGCCGAGCAACTATGTCAAGAAGGAGAAGCCCTCGCTGTTCGATAGTATTAAGAAGAAGGTCAAAAAGGGCTCCGGCTCTAAGACCCTGCCATCCAGTAACTCGCCGTCCCGGGCGGTCGAGTCCCCCATTATGGCGCGACGTCTGCCGGCCGATCCGAGCGAGGCGATCGGCACCGCGGTCGTCAAGTACAATTATCAGGCGCAGCAGGCGGACGAGCTGTCCCTCGTGAAGGGAACCAGGATCCTGATACTCGAGAAGAGCAATGACGGCTGGTGGCGGGGCCAGAGCGGCACCCAAGCCGGCTGGTTCCCGTCGAACTACACTCAGGAGGAAGGCGATGCCGACGACACGCTGCACACGTACGCGATGGCCGAGAACGTGCTCGACATCGTGGTGGCTCTCTACTCGTTCTCGTCCAACAACGATCAGGAGCTGTCGTTCGAGAAGGGCGACCGCCTCGAGATCCTCGACCGTCCACCGGCGGACCCGGAGTGGTACAAGGCGAGAAACAGCCAGGGACAGGTCGGACTGGTACCGCGGAATTATCTCCAGGAGCTCAGCGAGTACTTGACGCAACCGTACCGCGATCGTGGTATGACGAGTAGCGAGATCAGCCAGGGGGATTCCCTCGAGCGGAGGCCGGATCCCGGCGATCGGCCGCATCTCGTCGGCAAGCCTTGGTACTACGGTAGTATTACGCGCTCGCAATGCGACACGCTGCTCAATCAACACGGCCACGACGGAGATTTCCTAATCAGGGATAGTGAAACCAACGTGAGTACAGCGCTACCGCTGCCGCTTTCGCGATTAAATCGTTCAACGTCGGCTTTAGCAAAATTTCCGGCGAGATGCAATCGGTTATCTCGCAGTCATAGCTTTACACTCGAAGATTTCTGCGTTTATTTTTAGTTATCCATACAATTTCTATCTATATTCTAATAGAATTCATATTCTTGAAGATTTGATTAAACTCTTCAAAATTTGCTCACTTATTGTTATTTAATTATATCGATATACGTATAGGCAAGTTGAATGAAAATAGTGCCATTACTCATCACTCTAATTATTGTCAATTTTTAGATGGGCGATTATTCGGTATCCTTGAAAGCACCGGGACGTAACAAGCATTTTAGGGTACACGTGGAAGGAGCGCTATACTGCATCGGTCAGAGGAAGTTCCACACGCTAGATCAGCTTGTAGATCATTATCAGAGGGCCCCAATCTACACCAATAAGCAGGGAGAGAAGCTGTACTTGGTGCGCCCATTACCAAAAGGCAATGCCAGTAGCAATGGTTGCTAGATGAATTCGTGCCATGAAGAAGGAGAGACAGTCCATGCGCTTTCAGATGTATCGCTAAGATACGCGACGCCTGCCTAGTAATATCAATATCACACATCTCGTACGTTTATACAGTAACGATTTATATAATTGGTCTACTCATATATTAGTGTTTCTCGATTGTTTTCACCATTTTTACACAGTGAAGTATAATTTATATTACTCTAAGTGAAATCGGTAACTCGTATTACACTCCTCGGAGCTTCCAGACTACTCAGCAAACGAACAAAGAAACATTTAATACGGCAGCTACGTGAACTAATTGACAACACACAAGGCTTACCTTTATATTCATATTGTAATTGTAAAACGCGAACCGACTGTTATTACGATTAATAATATATTACAACTGCATTATAATATAGACTGCAAGTGTAATGATCAAGTAATAATTAATTATCATGCAATTACGAACGATTAAGTGGATCTCTACTCTAGAGCTATTGGTATTGAATTATAACAAAGACTAAGTGTTCATTTGTGATTTTGTATTTATATTAGAAGTTTTTAAGTAAATAAACTGTATTTAAGTGTGCATTAAGACAAAATGTATCCTCTCGATACTCATTTCCTTCGTCTATTTTCAATAGGTATAATACACATACATATTATACGTTTAGTTTCGCTATGCTACAATAAACTTTTTCATTTTATTATTATTTTTTTCAACAAACATCGTTATTGCTACGCTGCAAAATTACTTTTTTTTTTTACATACACATACGAGAAATATTATAAATGGAAGAAATAAAAATTTGTCTTACTAAAAAATTTGCGCCGCCAAAAAATAATTGGAAGTACCCGCCAAGTAACATTCACAAATTAGTAACAAATATTAATCTTTATTAACGTGTATATTATATTCATAAATAAAAGTATTATTTTTTTTTCATTTATATAGATATGAGATTGGTGCTCCTGGGAATAAAAGTTAATGGCACTAATTGCCAATAAGGTCACGTATATAACAATTTGCCTAATCTAAATATAATTTTTAGTTCGCATTATTTGTTCGTAACTCCATTGAAAGCTTACGCGTACATAATCATAAGAAGGGGTTGTTCGAATTCCTTGTCATGTTGCTTACTCCCGTGCCCACCTGCAACCGACGATTAACGGTGTGAACAAAGCGTATCGGGGAAAGAAAATCTGTTTGAATTCATTCACGTGAATTCTCAAACGAAATTACGATTTTACCATGAATGGATTTGCGTGATATGCCGGTACTGTCGATTGCCACACTTTGTTCGCTAGCGGCGTCATGAGTTGACTTAATTGGAGTACATCTCCGTTACTAGGTGCGCCGATGCCTATCCACTGCGAATCTGAAAGTTTATTCCTAACATTAGACGAAACACTAACACGCTATTAGAATCACTAACAAGTGTAACACAATATTTATATTCCTTCCTGATTGAATTCCTTTGTTCTTTTTTTCTAAAGCCGCGTTCCGTTATTTACTGCGACTGAAAATCTTATAGTTTCACATTACGTGTACCGCATAGTTTTTCAGTATTCGCAGTGTGAATAACGGAACGCAGCCTTGGTTGAAAATTAACGATGAAAACAAATGCATTATAAATATTAATAAAAAATAAATAAATTGGGAAACAATTGTGTTGCATGCGAAGGTTGCGTGGCAGCTGCATTTTTTTTTTTTTGAGCATTTTAATTTAGGAGTACACGGTTTTGTCTATAACTTACCATTATTTACAGGGAACTGAGTCGACTTGAACGGATTCGCGGGATTGCACAGAGAGCCATCGACGGATTGAGTATTATTGTTGACTACGTTCGCAGACGGCCGCCATAAATCGCCACCCGTGAACGGGTTTGAGATGACGTGCGTTTGATTATTTACTCCTATACTCCACGTTGCGTTCGGTACTGCAATTGAGAATATTCCATATATGCACCACTGACGCGCTTCCTCTTATGCTAATCGGAGGCGATAAACCCGCCCCACGTAATTAAATACACGGCCACTTTGTTCCGCAAGCAATATTCACCGTTCGAATTATTTGCGTTCCATGTAGACGCGGATAGGGTTCCAGCTGTCTCCTCCTTCAATTGCGTTTGCTTCATCAGCGAGTCTAAGTCTTTAAGTGCCGCGTAACGATCTTCCGAGGGTGGCGCGTGTATCCCGTTCATGTAATTCATCGTGGCGTTCCCACCGACCTGATTAAACATTGCGGACGTTTCCATACCTCAATAATAAAATTGTTCATTATGAGACAAGCGTCAAGTTACAATTCGGTAAATTCTGGCGTAAGGTATAGGGAGAAAAGGGAAGAGCGCGAGATGCACCCTGATACCGCTATACTCACTCGTCGAGTTATTGAAGATCGGATTATTGTCGAAGTTAGCGAAGAACGGCTGCGGCGCGATCGGCTGCTGGCCGCCGAACTGGCCGACCGGCGCCACCGCCGCCGCCGTCGTCGTCGTGTAGAAGGGATCAGGAACTTTGCTGAAATCGGCGACGAAGTCCGTCGTGAAATTGTTCGAGTTGTTCAACGCGTCCACGTTGGCCGACTTCTGGCCGACCGGCGCGGGCAGCGTCGTGGACGTCCCCGAGTTCGGCACCCTCGGGACGCTGCTCGCGGACTGCGACCTCGGCTGCTGCACCACGACCGCCGCCGTGTTCTGATTCGCGATCGACGGGTCCAGGTAGTATCTCTTAAGCTCGTACTTGGCGCTCATCAGGTCCTTCATCTTCTGCTCGTCCTTGGTGTCGAAGTTCTGCGGGGAGTTCGCGTTCATCAGACCCAGCCATATTCTCCTGCAGTACTCGTTGCCGTGCTGCTTTATGAAGTCTATCTCGTCCTGGGTGAACGTCGCCATGGAAATGGACTTTACCCGATGCGGCGGAGTCAGGCCTCGTCTGGAAATGCAACGCGACACGGCTTGTAGATCTGCGATTCTCGACACGCTCGATATATTCACGCGGAGATCGGATATGGAGCGGCAGGATCGGGTGGGCAAATCTTGGAATCGTCGAATGCGTCATCGATTTGTGTAAACGCAATTCCTCTAATCTCTTGCTTAAAAAAAAAAAATTATCGGCGCCTAGATATCTTTTCCAAGAAAATATTTACGATAATTTTACAGCTCATCAACGATCACGGAGAAACGTTATCTCATATTTTGGAAGCTGAGCGTTTCTGAGTTTCTACGCTGATTAAATTCGAACGTGTTTGTTGTGAACATGTGAAACGAGAGAGAGAGAGAGAGAGAGAGGGGGGGGTTTCGCGGAAAATCAATGAAATGCCTAGCAATTGTAATTACGTCAGAGATAATATTTTTCAAACCGCGCGGCTCGCTTAGAAGTACTTTCGTTCCCGCGACACCGTCGTCCTGCCTCCCGGTACGCCAATCGTTAAGTTTCCGTGACGAATAATAACGAGGCTCGCGTGCCTCTAATACGTCGTAAGGACGCAAATATAGCCGTATAACGAGATTTAAAAATCCGCACGTGCGCGCGTGTGCAGTGCAATGCGACGCGGCGCCGCGGGCCGCCTCGCGCCGCGCAATGCGACTTGACCGATTAAAAGAGCGCGAGTCGATAATCGGCACCTCGCGCGTGAGAGCGATCGTGGTTTCCCGGGAGAAAAAAATAAGAGAGGGGTAAAAGAGCAGAGGGGAAGAAAAAAAAAGAACACGAGAAGAGAGGCGGAAGGAGAGAAAAGACGGAGAGAGATGGAGAGAGAAACGCATTTCTCATTTTTTTTCCCCTTTTCCTCTCGACGGCGCATCGTAACATTTTGACCATTGATAACCAGAACTGCGCACAAAGAAAACGTCGACGTCGCTGATAGCGCCGACTTCCTGGCACAGTGCAGGCCAGTTCGACGTTTCAACGCGATGACTCACTTTTAGAGCCAGCGCGCGCGAGAGCGCTGCACAGTCTCTCTCTCCCTCGCTTTCTCTCTATCTCTATTCCTCTTCCTCTCCTTCGCGTCGCGGCGCAACGCTTACCGAAGGAAGAGGCCTGTGTGACATACACGTGTACGTCGGTCGCCCGAGGCGATTTTCGCGAACGTCCGTCTCGCTGATGGAAGGACATCTCCGGGAGGAGGATCGGCGGCGCGCGTTTACCAGGTCGAGCTGCCCACGCTCGGCGGTCGCGGATTTTCCCTCCCTCCTATTTATAGCCAGCCACCGCTACCCGAGTCACGGTCAGGATTCTCTTTAGAGATTTGGAACGCGCGGCGCGGGGGCTGCGAAATGCTGTATAGCTTACTCGACGGATCTCTATACCCCTTCGTGGGGCCTCGCCGTGTACCCGCGCTCCTCGTAGCGTAGAGCGACCTAGTAGAGCGATCGGGTGATCTCTAGGCCCGCGAGGCACGCGCACCTTGCGCAGCCTCCCCGTCCCGTCCGGAGACGGCGGTTGACATTTGCCCAATGTCACGTCGCGCGAGAGGGAGGGAGGAAGGGGGAGAGCAGCAAGAACACGGCATACCGCGCAGCGGATTGACACGCGATCCAGGAAACGTCCACTTCGTCGGCAGGGGGCGACGGGTTGGAGGAGGGGGAGGGGTACGACGAACACGCAGAGAGAGCTTGGTGCCGGAGCTACTTACAGCATACCAGAACAAGACGTGCAGACGAACGAGCCGATCGTCATGTTGACGTAGGTCGGCCCGCGCTGGTTGCAGTCGAAGCATTCCTTGTTGCCCGGCTGCGAGACCAGTTCGCGGAGCGTCTTCAGGTTCCTCTCGTCCTGCTTCCTCTTCGTGGACGCCATCCCGTGCGTGCGTGCGTGCGACGTGCGTGCGTGCGTGCTCGTGATGCGTGTGGTACGCGCGCGCGCGCGCGCGCGGGTGCGCACGAAACGGGCGAACGTGGATTTGCGCCCCTCGGGACGACGAAGAGGCCTACCACGGGTAGGCCGTCGGTATAAGCTGTCGCGGAACGCGGGCGATCCCCAGGTGCCTGGGATCGTGCGAGACCACCTATCGCGCCGCGCCTGCAAAACTCACTGACTGCGCGATCAGCGCCCCGCCGTGCGCTCGCTCTCCTTCTCGCACCCTCGCCCTTCCCTCTCTGTCAGTCTCGCTCGCTCGCTCGCTCGGCTCTCCCTTCCCTGTGTACCCCGGCCCGCTGACAAGCACTGACAACTGACAAGCAAGTGCGGTGGTTACGCGCGAGGACGTCCAATAGGAGCGCGTGGATCCTGGGGATCGCGAGTGACGCCATTTTCGTTCCTAGGAAACGAATCTTCTCATTGGTCGACGAAGCGGACGAAGCTCAGTGAATCCGCCGTTAGTGAAGTCAGCTGTATGTATGTATGTATATATATTTATATATACGTGCATACGTCACAGGCAGAGGGCGACTTCGATCAAAATCCGATTAGCTTAATCGACAATTAATTCGATCCGCGGAATTGTTTGCGAGCTTAAAACAAAAAATTTCTAATTGGTACAATAACGTATGTAACGCATATTAAATTCATGAGTTGCTATTAAACAGATGTTTTACATGAGCGTACATCAGTGATGACGCAATGATACTGTTGCATATCGCCGCAAAACTGCATTTTTTTTCTCGATTGTTATCATTGGATATTAACTTGGATAGTAACAATGAGTCTTATTGTTTTAAATAAAAATTGAATATTATCGTAAACGATAAGCACATATACTTGTATACGCACATCTACAAACACATCAGGATGATAAAATAAATTATTAATGTTATATTAAATGTATTATGAACTGGTTCAGATTTTAATATTATAGTCACGCAAACTTAAGATCGATTTTGTCGATGACATTGTTCATAATATATCTATATAAAATAAATATATTAATTTTACAATTTATTATCGTCCTGATGTGTTTTATAGACGTGTTGATTTTGTGTAATGTACATCGGCACAGGTCCGTCCGAATTTTTTTAAATTCTAATAAAATATAAATATATACATAAATTTAATATATAAATTTTTTTATTATTGCACATCTAAACGACGACGGTGTAACCGATGTAGTGCGTATAATTAATGTACTTTAAATGCCATTGAATTATAACACAAACGCAATTAATATATAACAGATACAATATAGATAAATAATATATAACAATTAATAATAAATAACAAATAATATATAATAATAAATAATATATACATAAAAAATAACACAACTGATGTATTTAACAGATTAATAATATGTGACAGATAAATGTGTAGTAAATAACCATCGAAAAAGATCCAAATACACTCTGCATTCCATTATATTCTTAAAAGAGAGAAAAGAGAAGTACATTAGATATGTTCAAGCGTTATCTGTTAGTCTGTTACCACACGCAGGTTTTTTTTTCATGTAACCAGGTATAAATCTTCGATTTCGAAGATGAAGTTGCAAACGTTCCATCTTTCCAATCATTTCCAAACATTCGACAGTCGTTTGTTGGACATTGTTGTGGACGGACGGATCTTGTGCGGACCTTCGCCTTCTCTTTCTCCTCCCTTTCTCTCTGACGCAGCTAAATCTTCTATTGTAATTTGGAGACGACGAGCGATTAGCCAACATGCTTTGGGGTAAGACGATTCGCTTTGTAAATAATAAAATCTACAAATATCGCGGCAAGACGTGTCTCGTCATGCTGCGGGACCGGCCGACCGTCCGCTCGCTCGAAGGACGTCGACACGTTCGGCGTCCTTCGAAATGAAAATCGTGAAAGAAAACTCTCATAATGTCACGTCTAAATTCCACTTGTTATCTGGTGTTACAGCGTTGATAATGCAGCCGCAGACGCAATACACGCAGCACGTGCAGGAGACTTTCCGCTTGACCATGGCGAGTATGGACATGTTGCTGTCAGGTAATATCCGTTTCCAAGATTAACTTTAATCTCGATTTCAATTCTGATTTTCATTTCCACCAATGCAGATTAACGTTAATCTCGGTTTAACTTACTCTTCATCCTTTTTCAATTCTCAGAACTGAAAAAAGATGAAGAGAAAGTTGAACCGAGATTTGAGTTAATCTACATTGATGGAAATAAGCATATATATACATTAAAATTCAGTATAGGTCAAGCTGAACGTGTATTGTATCAGATGCTTTATTTACATCACGGATCATATCCTGTTTGTCCAATGTTTGTGTGCCTGAAAATCTTTATACCCTTCTTTTTTTTTGCAGATAACAAGCCGGCACAAATAATAATGTCTTTTAAAGATAAAAAATTTCTGCTTTGCACCTTGCAGAAGGATAAAGTATGGCAAGTTCCACTCAACTTAATAGTTGAAAAGGGATCTGTTATAACGTTTTCGTGCAACGGTGCAAGTTACATTCACCTGACTGGATATGTAAAAATCAATATATCAAAACAACCCAAAGAAGATAACTGGGTAAAATTTTTCTTCAAGCAGATCATGGACAAGAACATAACAGAACTGAAAAACGAATATATTGCAGAAATGTTTGATTATTTGAAAAAACACAATGCAAAAGGAATGGCCAACTGGATAGCAATTTATAGACCATCATTAAATAAAGAGACGGAAGACCAAAGCTGTAAGGAGCAAGGCACGAAAAAAAAACATGCGCCGACAGACGAGGCCCGTGGATCGAAGCGCCTGAAGTACGATAACAATTGCGAGCGTACGAATGAGAGCAATTCAAATGAGAATACGAAGGAGTCTGACGATGTCGATGACAATTGCCAAGATGATGAATCGTCATCAGACGAAGAATGCGATGATTCGTCGACTAAAGATGAAAATGTGGATGTTGAAATGCAGGAAAGTAAAGAGGAAAAGTCTGGAGAGCGAAACAAAAATGAAGCCGATGACAATTGCCAAGATGATGAATCGTCATCAGACGAAGATTGCGATGATTCGTCGACTAAAGATGAAAATGTGGATGTTGAAATGCAGGAAAGTAAAGAAGAAAAGTTTGGAGAGCGAAACAAAAATGATGTCGATGACAATTGCCAAGATGATGAATCGTCATCAGACGATGATTGCGATGATTCGTCGACTAAAGATGAAAATGTGGATGTTGAAATGCAGGAAAGTAAAGAGGAAAAGTCTGGAGATCGAAACAAAAATGAGAAACGGCAGGGGAAGCGGGAGATAACAAAAATCGAGGAAAAATTTAAGGGAGGAAAGGATGATAAAACGAATGGTGAAGAGAAGCAAAAGTACACAATTATTAATAGTCATCTCAAGACAGATTTTGAAGTGGAGGTGATCAGATCCGGCACTGGTGATAGAATGGCGAAAAAGGGCGACAATGTCACAACTTATTATGTGGCTCGTATGATGAGTGAGAACCATGTGTCAAGGATTTACGAATACGAAAAGGGACTCGGCTTCAGATTCAAACTTGGAGCAAGATCAAGACAGGCGCTCCGTGACGTGGATATGGGAGTAGTCGGGATGAAAATAGGCGAAAAGCGTCGTCTCACAATGTCATACAGATTGGCGTATGTATCGTACTTTTGCTTTTTTGCATTTTATTCATCCATTCCAATTCCGTTTTGCATTTTTTTTTAATGAGAGTCATCTTCATTATTATTATTTTTTTTTTTTATAAATCTCTTTATTCAAGTATGATGTCCGTCACACTAGGAAAATATAATTGATATGAAAATATGAAAATGTGAATTTAATAATGCTGTATTCTTCTTACAGATATGATATTAAAGGCAGCCTACTCCATGTTCCTCCTTTCGCCACAATTGTTTACGACATTGAACTCAAAGAAATCGACAACTACGACTAGTTATTTATGAATAGTTGAAGAATCTTTTAAGATGTGCCACGATTGCTACATGCAATTTCATTAGGATATGACAGTTTTTATCTCGCATTTGAATCAGAGAATCTGAGATCAATGTGTTTTTTTTTTACTCTGCATTTATATGTGATGTTAAACTTGCGAAAGTCGAGTAAATATTAATAACTCAGGTATTACCCATGAATAGAGAGATCTTTTTTAACGTGCTTCACGTCTGCTACCTCGTCAGGATATGACAATTTTTTTTATTTTGCATTTGTAAGTCAAGTAAATATTAATAACTTAGGATCTAAATACTTAGATATTACTCATGAATAGTTTAGACAACTTTTTTAATGTACCTTGACACTTCTGCTACCTCATTAGGACATAACAATTTTCTTTTGTGTTGATTTTGATCTCATATTTATGTGAAGATAAGGAAATACTTTTTTTTAGAAAACTAAATAAAACAAGAAAGTTTTTTTAATGAAAATATTGACATATATATATATATATATATATATATATATATGTCAATATTTTATTCTCTTATGTCAATATCTTATTCTCAATAAAATAATTGTCAAGTTCAACTTTTTTTTATTACACATGATTTTTAGAATAAATTTGTCAGTTTTCCTGTAGATTTACGCTGATAAGACCATTTATAAAAATTCAGAATAAATATTCATATTATTATTGCTAGATTATTGAAGAGAGATAATGAACATCGACTGTTACGATCATCTGTACAAATTTCTGTACAATTATCTCATGATATAACATTAAATTTACAATTTCTCTTTATAGATTATTTTATAAATTAGCATACCTCTCTGTAATGCAATTATAGAGAGGTATGCACTGTATTTTTTCTATGGTTGTACAGATGATAAAAAGTGATTAAATTGCAAATTTAAATGAAATGTCACATTGTAGATATGAACGTTTAAACAATACAAGTCGTGAATTTAATATCATAAGTTTACCATCAAAATTTTGGCAATCGCATGAAAACTCTGATAAAATGGTCTCACTAGTGTTCAGTATTAAGAGCTGATAAGTTGTAAATTTAATACCTCACAGATTGACTGTCAAAATGTTAGCAATTGTACGAACTTCAATAAAATAATTTTGTTGGTGTCCAAGTATTAATAAGAAAGCAAAGAAAATTGTAAGTAAATAAAGGCATACTCAATATTGTGCCATTTTATTTTGACATGAGCATTTTTTGGAATTTCCCATGTTTCAAATATTCCATTAAAATAATATAAGAGTGAGATGCACACAGACAGAGAGAAAACATTTATATGTTACACCTATATTTATTCTATTATACATGAGATAATTGTATTTCATTTAACAAACCTTGGTATGTGCACATATGTATATGTAACAAAAATGTAACCCCATACAAACCACATAACTGTCATAACTAATCTCTATACGATTTAATATGTTCTAACACGTTAACATTGAATATGATAAATATATATAAAGAACATACATTTGCTCAACTAAAACTGAAACACGAGCTTGTCTTTATCTGCAGTCGAATCGTATACAGACCGATCAGCGTCCTAGGCGACTCGCAATCGTGTCAATAGAATTATAAGCTTCCAAAGGGTTCGAAACAAGGTAAAAGTGTCGAAAGTAATCCCATGTCGATTGAGCAAACGACGCAACGAAAGCGACTCGCTTGCCGTTCACTCACTTTTCTTCGCCGCGTCACCTTTGTCCTTCCATGCCAGGGTGCACGTCCCGTTTTTGCATTCCTTTATCAGATCCGGACACGGCTGATCCCCCTTGGCCTCCTCCTGTCCTTTACTCCTCAACTGCCACCACTTGATCAGTAACGGTTGTATAAGGAACCTCCATATTATTAGGATTATAGGAACCGCGAAGCATGGCACGCACACCATTTTGTATCTAACTTGCGTCTATTTTTACGATCTAAAATTATAAAGAAGAGAAGCAATTTTTTTATAGTAGAGAGAGAGAGAGAGAGAGACAGAAGGGACGAATGTTTGTCTCGGAGCGACGATACGGCTTTGCAGATCGCGATCGATCGACTCGTACGCTTTTTTTTACCCTGCGTTCGCCGTACCGCCGCGGAAAGGCTTGATCCTTACCTCGGGGAAGAGACGGAGCAGCGAGACGCTATATCGAGCCTTCACGGGACGATAATCGGGCAAATGTGAGAGAGACCGATACGAGCATAACCTGGACGAGATCGTGAGTCGGAAACTTGGAATTTGATCCCGACAAATGCAGACGGCACGTCGTCAACTGAGAGTCGAGCTGGAGATCACTGCTAGAGATGACTACTCGGAAGTCGGGCGAACGTCGACTCGCCGCCCCTTCGAGTTTAACGTGCTCGTCCCTTCAACAATTCGCTCGATTGGATCTGTCAGTTCTGTCACTCGTACTCGTCGTCGTCACTCGCGATCGTGATATACACACGTCACGTATGTACGTACATACATACAACATACACAACACAATTCCGTTTACTCTCTCGGCCATAATGTAAGGATACCTACATGTGCATCTGTAGATATATATCATGTATACCTACATGATGTAGGTCATGTAGGTATCCTCAATATCATGCTCTCGGCTTCCTTCGCCTGTGACGCCTACCGTCGCTCGCACCGCCGCGCCGAGCGCGACTAGGGTTGGACTAGTGTCAAATTGGCGCGCGCAAGTTAAGTACTATAGCTACTCTTGGGGGCGACTTCGATTAACTCTGACTAACTTATTAATCTGTGATTAACATAGTCAAGCAACATTCGTATATTTTGTTAACATAAATATAGAATTACATTTTGTTGCTTAACATACGGAAAATATAAGGGTGTTAGATGACGTCAGAAACGGCGAAAATTAGAATTTGTACAGGAAGCAATTAATTCTGCTGATTGAATTGAAATTAATAATCACTATATAAATTAACTTATCAAGTAATACTTTATTAACATAAATTATTATTATTATTACCGTTTGTTTAACGTAAAGAAAAAAAGAAATTATATATGTATAAAGAAAAGATTATTGAAAAGAGAATTGTATGTACAATTGTGATTAAATCATAATCGATCATCTGATCTAATCTTTTCTTTATATATAATTTCTTATTTTCTTTCGATCCACGACTGTACACAATTATGAAATTCCGCTTTGAGCATTTAATTCTGTCAGAATTAATCGCCAATTAAGTTAATCAGATTCGAGTTTAGTCGAAGTCACCCTGGTTCTACATAGATATACCCGTTTCTATTGCTGCGCGACGTCAATCGACTGGCGATCCTCGATTGGTAACAACATGCGTTATTCGCGCCTGTCTCCGCGAGAAGTCTAATTTATCCATATATTGAACACACACAATCGTGTTGCGCTATATATATATATATATATATCTCGGTTATACGATATTTATAACAATATGTATGCAAAAGAACATGGTCACAGCCATATATCGCGATTGCAGGATCTCTCCTCCAGGACTCCATATTTAAATGTACACGTATATGTATGATATATATATATATGCATTATAAGGTACTGAAAGAGATATATTAATTATATGGAACGAATGAGTATCTATATCGCAAAATGTTTGCGGTAAGAGCTGTCGAAGCGTTTCCGACATCGGCGAAGTCAGTCTCTTTAATTTAACGAGAAAGTACATTCGGACGAATGTCGTTCACGATCGCGGATAAGTTTCTGACTCTTACATACTTCCAAACACTTTGCGACCCCTCGTTACGGACAACGAGACGACGACGACGCTCAACACGAAGAAAACCAGACCGAAGAGAGTGGTCAGGGCTCTGCACCATTGCCGCTTCCGTTTCGCTCTCGCGATCGTCCGGCCTAAACGCTCGGCCTGCGTCACGTCGAGCGTGAAGTCAAAATCCTCTCCAAAACCTCGGACGGTTAAGCGACGATTCCAGTCGTTCGCGCGGCTCAACGAGGCGATCGTTCCTTCGGCGGACGATCCAACGTCGCTGCACACCAGCTGCTGGAACAAATTTCCCTTTATATAAGATATATATACGCTTACATGATTGTTGAAACACGATCTGCAGACAATACAAAGTGTTCCAAAATCGGGATGTCACTAAAAGACGTTATTGACATCTTTGCGAAGAAAGACATCTCTTTTATATATTTCGATTTTACAATTAGACTTTGCGTTGTTTAGGGAATTGAATAACGTAAATCCGAGGTCTTATTTTTATTAAAGAGCTACGCTAAACGAGCCAGAATAACGATCACGTAATTTTTTTCCTAGAGCGAAAACGTGAAAAGTGAAAATTTTTCTCGTTATCTTTAATGTCAGTTTAATGAATTAAAAATTTTCATTTTTCACATTTCCATCTTAGGGAAAAAGTTACACGATCGCTACCCATCAGATCGAGCGTACTCACCGTCGAATATTTCGACTCGGTTTCGCAAGGCTTCTTCCCCGCGAGGCCGGAGTTCTTCCTCGTTTCGCTGTCGCGTCTGATCGTTCCGTCGTTCTTGAGCACGGATCGCGCCGGATTGTATCCGTAGAGGCAGCGAGGGCTGACGTAGACTTTCGAGCTGATTGGATTCACTCTCGACGGCGCATTCTTCACGCAGCCCGGCCATAGCGTTGGCTTCTTGTCGTTGAACGTCATCCAGGATGGGCAAACGTACTCGTACACATTGTCGTTCCTCGTGGGTGCGATCTCCAGGGAGACGATGCGCGAGATGTCGCGCAAGATATCCTCCGGTGCCGCCGTGACATCGCCGTCTATCACAGAATTGAGAGTCCGGGATAATTCGAGCAGCACCTCGCGCGCTCTTGACGATGACGATGATGATGAGGTCAACGGCAGCGACGGCGGAGGCGGCGGCGGCGGCGGCGGCAGCAGCGGTGGCGAATAGTTATACGTGCAACCGCATACGCGACACGTGTAAATACCTGTTACGATAAAACAAAGACATTCTGATAAGCGAGAGGCCCCCAGTAAACGAGAATGAATTAAAATAGATTTTGAAAAATTTATTTCAATTGGTTCGCAAATTTGTACTTTTGAAAATCTGAATCTATTTCAATGCCCAATGCCTTTGTATTCATTTGTAGGAATTGCATGAATCATATTTTCTATGCCTTTCAATCGCATAGAATTAAATAAATAAAATTAAATCAAAAAATATTTTTTATATTTAGAATTTAGATGGATTAAAACAATGCATTTCCTAGCCACAATTAATATAATATAATAATATTACATTAAAAGCATTATATTATATTCGTATTATAAAATAGAAATGCATTCATTTTTACGGAAGCCAATCCATTTCAATCCATGAATTAAAAAATTTTAATCCTTTCCCGTTTACATGGAGTTCATTTCGAAAGGCGAGGCTGAATCGCAAAACGGAGTCGTCGCGCGCTTCCGCGGTTACGAGCGCTTTTCGTTTAACCTTCGTAATAATCGCCACTGTGATCCTCGACGTGATGATAGACGACCGATGGCCAAATCGGCCGCGGTATCGCCTCGCTCTCGTGAATCACCGCCAGGCCAACACCATACGACGGATCCCTCGTCGACGCGTAGTAGGAGCACGAGCCGGCCGACAACGGCGGTGAATGGCTCGAGTAACCGGAGCTGGTCGACGTTCTGTAACATCTTCGTGGATTGTTGCGCGACGCCGTTGATCTGCCGCCTGCGATGCCGCTCACGAATTTAGAGATTTCAATGTCCGCCACGTCCGATCTTATCCTGAAAAATTATATCCCGTTGCGAGTATGACAGACAGCATGCATCAAATAGTCTTATTAAGAATTATTAATTAAGGGACAAAAAGTAGATCACATTTCTTGTATGAAAATCCGAGTAAAGTAATTTGAATTTTTACTAATTGAGAAAATCATCATTTAAATTCGAAAAGAAGTCTCTTTAATCTCTTCTCTCCTGGAAGGGCTAATAAAAGAGCGATACAAATCATTTACACTATTAATTACCATTTATCCAAACGATTTGATAAGAGAATTGCCATATTATTTTTAATCTTTTCACATTACTTTTAGAAATTTTAAAGACGTATAAGAATTAATTGGGACGTGAACTGGGATTTTTCGTATATATACCATTCGATCTCGTACGTAGGCTCGATCGTAGGTGACGCGGCGTAGACGCGCCTCTCGGCCTCCGCGCCCTCGGGATCGGCCCGACTCCTGGTTCCAGGATCGCGCGGGACCGCCGCTCGCCTCGCCTGCACGCCGGCACTCGGACGCATCCCCCGACGGCACTCGGTGTGGCATTCGTGTAACGCTACCGCAGGATACGGACGCTGCAGGCTCGTCCAAGGCCAGCCGCTGATGATGGGACCATCGCCGCATGCTCGATCAGCTGCGCCGCCGTCGTCGTCGTCGACAGGCTAATTCCTGCGGGCCATAGCGGGCCGATCGGTCCCCTCCTCTGCATGCCCCTTTATCGAAAGCGAATCGCGGCTCCGCGGGTTTACGATATCGTATTTACGTATTATACACGTGTGTATTTCACCAGACGGTCTTATCGAATCCGCGCGCGCGTGCGACACGGACGATCCACGCGGTTTCAAGGTCGCTTTCACATTCGTTGTGTGTTCACGTAAGAAATCGGCCCGGCGTAAAGCGCCTATTACGTTATTCGGGACGTGTCGAACGGGCGAACGTTAATGGAGGTCGTCGTCGTCGTCCTTTTTCCTCGAGCTTGCGTTATATAGCTCTCCCCGCGCGATCATCGCGAGCGTATATAATATACGTCATATATATTCCTCCTCTCCTCCGGCCAGCGCGATCGAGTTATCGGTACCCTCGGCACGACTCCTCAGCTCCGGCGCGGCAGCGGCGGCAGGCGGCGTGTCAAATTTCGTCAACGTGACGTACGAGGAGAAGAGAAAGCGGATGTGTGTGCGCGAATAGCCCGCTTTCGAATTAGGTCAACTTGAGTATTGGAAAGCGCGCCCTTTGTGTTTCGGTTACGTTAAATTCCGTTGCGCGTGTCGTTCTCCACGACGTGTACCTATGTACACGCCGTGATACGACATCCAATTACCCGCCCGCCGCTCCGTTTCTTTTTTTTCTTCTTCCTCTCCTCCTCTTCTCATTCCCCGAAGTCACTTTCGACACCGCCAAATCGGTATACAGAAAGATCGATATCGTTCGCGTTCGCGGGGATCGACGGGTCCGACGAGCCGTTACCTCATCACGGCACGAGAGCTTACTATACACATATCCGTATACCGTATACACGTATAATTACCTAGGATACGTGGATCGGTGTTCACGCCGTAGTGCCCGATCGTCGCGGTACATTCCATCATCGGCAGCCAGACGGCGGCCAGCAGCCAGCAGCAGCCACTTTCACATCAGCGCGCGTGGCACGTTTGCCGATGTGTGTGTTTACGATATTAACGCCGCGTGCACCCTGAAATATCGCACGACGATTAATAAGTGCGGGAATATCGCGCGACGATTAATATAAGAGCGCGTAAAAAATCAGGAACGTCCTCGAGATCCTCCCGCGCTAATTAAATCGCCACTACTACCGCAATATCGATTAATGACTCTCGCGATCGGGCGACAGGCTCCGAATTATCTTTCCGCAGAAACGCGATTACTTTCACAAATTCGCTCTTGCCGCAGCTCGTCGGACTCGAACTGACAGTCCCGCGCGATTCGACACCGACTGTTTTTGCCTCTAAATTGAAAACGCGTATTTTTATTGTATACGCGTCACGTAACAGATCGTATATATATATAATCTTTTATGTAATCCTTTATGTAAAGTCGAGACGATCGAGCCGTGAGGGAAAAGCACGTACGACGCGACGATTACGACGAGTTAATATTTACAATTGCAACTTACGCGAAGACACGATCGAACGCACGCGGATTTACAGCATCCTGCATCAAGCCGCGCTTATATTATGAGAAATGCCATTTCTCGCACGTCTGGAACGATAAAAAAGCGCGACGCGGAGCGCTCTTTTCTAAATTCGCAGTCAGAGAGATGCCGGCGCTCGCCGTTTCGCGTCTCGACGACGACGAATGCGATCTTCAACGGCCGCGTACGTCGTGCGCGCGAAAGGGAATAACGCGCGGGATCCTTAGCATATTTTCTCCTCCTGGAGAGTTCTACGGCCTTTCTACGGCGCGGTTGTTACATATATGTATGTGCATGCGAGGGAAGATATTACACGCATAGCGGCCCCCGCGGGCGAGTCACGCACAACGTGGCCGTCGAGAGCGAGCGGTAAGTGAGTATACACGGCCCGCGGAACGAAACCGCGAAAAATATTTGAGACTCACGGACTTTCACTCGCACTCATTCAGGGCCGTCGACGGAAAAAAGATCGTCGCCGCGTCGGCCACGCCGCCCGTGCGCCACGGCGCGCCGCCTCGCTTCGTCTCCGGGTCTCCGATCGCGGGACCGGGAGCGCCGAAAGATCCTTACGTTCGCTTTCGCGGTCGTCGAGAGTTTTTACGCGCGCGCGCGCGCACGAGCGGATGACAACTCCGATCGTTTTTTATACGAATTCCCGACTAAACCGCGGGCATCGCCGAAAAAAAACGCGCGTCTCGAACCTGGAATGTCTCGAACGATTCCCGTCTATTGGCGATCTTACGAGTCGTAATGGATCACAGAGAGCGCGCTTCGCGCGATCGTACTCTCTGAATTTTCTGGAGTGACTGTTGATTCTTTTGGAGTGAATATCAAAAGAATATGAAAATACTGCCACTCAAGTGGCCGAGTGGCAATATTTTCAATCTTTTGGAGTGAGATTCACTCTAGAAAATTTAGAGAGTAATATCACCGAGCGATACGAAAAAGTCTCGTCCCGCGCGCGGTCTCCTCCGCGGCGCCGCGCCGAGTGTTCGCATTCACGCGATCCTGTCGCGAAATATCAAGCGCCGACATATCCGCGAAGCCAGGTGTATACCTACACTTTCGTTTCCAAGCCGCGAGTTCAACACGCGACAGATCCGAGCTGTACGTTACTCATTGGGGAGCGAAGGAGCGACATGCCGATTGCGACACCGCGACGTGCCGTATAGGCTTACAAGTACTTCATAAAGAAAGAAAGTGACGATGACTTATGCTTACCGTGTTGATTAAGTAACAGAGATTAACAATAGCGCGCGGAGAGATTTCTCGCGTCGCGAATAATGAGGGAATATAATCATCAAACGGAGAGGATGCATGCAGCGTTTTCCCTTGCTTCTTATACAGAGAGACTTACTGTGAGCCCAGATAGCACACAGAGCCCAAAAGAATTCATCAGTATATTCAATTTTATGTCATCAATTCTGAGTTCATTTTCAGGTGCAAATTAAAGAATCCCTTTTGCAAAAAGAATTCCTTTTGCATCTGAAAATGAACTCAGAATTAGTGACATATAACTGAGTTCTTTTTTTCATCCTCATGTGCTATCTGGGAGTGTTTCTGTTATTTTCTTTCTGCACGCCCGGCATTTCACGAGAAATATGCGCGCACGCATAAACGCGTCGTACTGAAAAATGCGCGCGGGAAGGCGAGAATCCCGGCCGTTGCTGGCACGGTGAACGAAGTCGTTTCGTTTCGGTTTTTTACATGTCCCTATACGGCATAATTATATACGTATATATGTATACCTTTCCTGCCTCTCCGTCTCTCACATCCTTCTGCCTCTCATCTCCGCGCGTATCCGCACGCCGTATAGAGGATGTGCACGTACGGCGCGAACTTTCACACGCGCATCGCGCCGATCGCATCCGCTCTGCCCGCGCTCGCGGCGGTCCAAAAGAAACTGAAAGACTTCCACCAGCGATCAGCGGCACGACACCGTCACCGCCACCGAGATCGCCTCTTCCTTCGTTCCGTGGGGGTTGTATCCTGCAGACTGTATAAACACGTCCGCGCCATGCCCTCCTTACCTCCTCCGTTGCACGCCACTGATCTGTTTATTCCTTATTCCTTTTACGTTTTTCGCCTTCTTTCACACCTTCTCCAAGTTTCGCGTATTTGTTACCTATATTATACACACAGTGAAACAAACAAGCTCAATATTTGAATATTTTGTACTTATTTATAGGCTATACGTTTATACACGTTACAAATATGTTTGTAATTATATTGTAAATATATATATATATATATTTGTAAAATTCAAATATATGTAATGCAAGGCGATACCAAAGCGAGTCACGCTGGATGTAAGTGCTAACGGTATATTTAATGGTAATTCAAATTAAACAATATACTGATGTTCGATTTGTATGCATGACGATTGTGAGAACGCAGTCAACGCAGATCGCTGACGTTCCACAACGCGTCGGAACTCGACACTTTTGCCGCCAGGCGGCAGTGCCGCCGTCGTGTACACGTGACAATCACAGACAATCGGCGACAGTCTCGCGAGTGTTCGTCTCGCGGGGGATGTTTTGAGATTTTTTTTTGGCTCTCACTTAAGATAGCTGAGACTGTTGATTTAGTTCGCTTCGCATATACGTTTCTTTCGTGAAACCGCAAGTCGCACGTCGTTTTATCGGTGATAAAGATGCCGTATCTGAATTCGTGGGAAGAATTCGAGAGAGGCGCCGAGAGGTTATATCTGCAAGATCCGATGAACGTACGTTTTACAAGATTATTTATTTTTGTAGTATATTTTTTTCTAGCATCTCTGTAACGCCGCTCGTCTTTGCGACACCTGACACGAGAATCCTCTAATCAGATTATCTGCATTATGCATGTAACTTGAGATTACGGTAACGCATGTCGGAAGAACGTGCTCGAACTTCAATATTTACCAATATCGCTGTAACATTTTGTACCTGTACTTTCAAAATGCTCAACTCGTTTGTAGCAAATTATTTTTCAGATTTATAACTGCGTTCTCTAGATAATTAGAGAATGACGAAAATGTACGTGAAATTTTTTTCATAAGCTTTTAAGCTAATTATATTTGTCTGTATTAAATTCGTAGTGTTTCCTGCGTAATGTTTAAGACTACGTTTGTGCTTCTTCTGTCTATTACTTTCAATCTTCTTTTGCATTCTGAATATCGCAATGAAAGCATTGCTAAAAGGAAAAAATAATAATATTGTGATCTGGTACCACATATGAGACTGCAAATTCAATTACTATGTGTAAATATAAATATCGAGTGAACAACTATTCGCGTGATATATTAATTTCTTTTTCTGTCTTATTTCAGACTCGATATACGATGAAGTACTGTCACAGTAAAGGGGTTTTGTGTCTAAAGTTAACAGATAATCGACGGGTAAGCGATTTCAGAGACATATTTTATGATCAAGGTATACAAGGCGCTTGTATTCCTTCCTGCCGCTTCTTGTTAGTCTTTTCATTATGAATACAATGACTAATGAAAAATGTTTGCAGTGCCTCCAATATAGAACAGAAATAGCTCAGGACTTAAAGAAAATGGAAAAATTCATAGGCAATCTCATGAGACACATGGCGTCGAGAGACAGTTAGAATAAGATTTGTATGTAGGAATACGTTCATCATGGAGACTAAAACATGCTACTTTTATTCAACAATATCTTTCTTTTTCCGCCTCACACGATCCAACGATCCACAGATATCAATTTTAATTAAGGTATGAACGTTATCTTACATGTAAAACAAGTGCATATAAAAACTGTTTCGTTTTGTGTTAAAGTTTTACGATTGTTTCGGGCGGCCCCGTTGCCTCCTCGTTAATGTTCTGAAACAATCAAAATTCATCGTGTAAGTTAAGAATTACGCTACACTCCGTCGAGGATGTAATATAGAGAGAACATTTTTCAACATTTATATAATGCATCAACTTTTTTGATATCTATAACTGAAGTATGTTCTCAAGTGACGCATCTAATGTACTAGATATTAATAAAGCCAGATACACAAATCGAATCGAGATCTGATTTCTGATACTTGAGTGAAGAAGGAAGCACAAAGCGACAATGAACAAGCACTTACGATATAATGGGTTGGAGAACAGCGTCCAGAGTAGTGTCAACAGGAGGGTAGATTTCTTGATTTGAAGGCAATTCATAGTGTACCTCTCCCCCTAATTGCAATTGTGTCTATACCAAACAAAACCGTTTTACTAATCTACTATTTAGAAGAGAACAGTAACATTCCGCATTATACTATTACAATACTTCATAAAGCTATATGTGTAACTGCATGCATATACACGAAAATCATGTCGCTGGAAAGGGGAATTCGCGCGATTCTAATGCCGATATCTTGGAAATTTATGATTACGTGATTAAGAGTGGCGGTCCACTTAACGCTACGAATACTTTGAAGCGTTCGACTGACCAATCGGAAGAAAGAATTTGACCGATCGAAGAATGCTTCAAAGCATTTGTGGCGTCAAATGGACCGTAGTCTATAAGTCGAAATTTATAGGGAATGAATAGGGAACCTTAGCCACATTTATATAGAAGTACTTGGTGTTTTTCTTACGAAAACATACGTGTGATGAATATTTTGTGACAATTAATGTTAAATTTTTGCGAGAGGAGTAAGCACGAATATACGCGAGATTCGTGTTTACTCGTCGATTTTTCTTAAACAGCTAATTGTAAATGTAAAATATACGCATCGCGCACGATTTCTTATTTTAAAACGGATACTAGTTAGGATAGCGATATTTTAGCGAAAATGCGAGCAAACTGGGATACGTACTACGTGAATAGGTTTATTGCTGTCGGCAGAACTTGAGCAGCAGCTTGAAAAGTCCTGCGGCGTGCTTTCCCCGAGTCCACTGTCCGCATTATTGCCTATTGACACTCGGTTGCTACGAGTATAATAAAAATCCCTCCTCGTGCTATATTCGCTTCGAGCCTCGGGAGACTTTGCCTCGACTCGATTGGACGTTGCCGACAGCAAGTTATAACTTCCATCACGATAATGCCGCATGTGTCTTCTTTCTCTTTTGCCAACGGATCCGACAGTTCTGAAAGGGACAGTCCTTGACAGTCTCTGGCACCCCGGTCGTTTTAGCGACCAGCAGGTCCACTGTGCTCGACTCAGATCGATGCGTGTCTTTTTTGCGTGCGTTTTTTTTTTGGTTTTTTTTGTTTAGTGCATACGGTTAATATACACACATTGGCTATGATTCTCACGATGCACACGTTATAAAAAAAATTCAGTAACATAAATTTAATCACAGACTCCGTTAATGCATTCGCTTCTTTGTAAACTGTAACGCGGCGCATTTTAAAGCGGATTTTTTTTTGTTTTGAAAATACAAAGAGATAAAATGCAAAATGATGAAAATCCACGAAGATGCGCCGGGTACGTGTAAGGGAATCGAATGGGATATACGAGGAATGTCGTGAGAAAGACTCGGAACATGAAGTGTTCCCGAGCCCCGAACGTTGACATCATCCTCCCAGATACCAATATTTATTACACAAATACATGGCGCATACCGTATAAAATATACATAATGCATGAGAGATAAAAACACACGGAATAAAAAAAATACGACCCCAGTACGAAGGCGATCGGCACGCATCGCCTTTAAAAATTCCATGGAACACAGCCAGAAGCGAGTGAGTGCCACAGCTAGGACGTAAAAATAAAAACAGGTGCGACAAGCAAGTTAATCTCACTTATTTATTAAGGAATTCGTCATGCTTCAAATAAATAATAAGGGGGCATGCTTAAAGTAAGATAATATACATGCTCGAAATAAATTAAAAAAAATACATGCAAGGGAAGTCGAGGTGACGGGAGGAGAAGGAAGGGGGGAAGGTGAGGGGGGGGGGGTAACTAAACAATGACTACGGATCCCGTATCATCCTCCAATTGCGGAGGATGGTTGTGGAGATTGCAGGCCGTCTTGAGATCATCGTACCTAGGCAGGGACGATGAATCTATGTCGTCCAATCGAGAATTGTTAGACTGTAAGGGGGGTTGCTGTACAGATTGCGACTGTACCACCGTGTAGGATATCTCTCGGCGTTGCTGCTCGCTCATCCCGCTAGTGTCGATTAGGCCAAATTCCAAGTGTCTGAAAAAAAAAATTGTTTAATGTCTTTTAATGTCGTTTTCACACATCGATAAACTGTCAGTATTCATTGAAAAGATAGATTAACGAAGATAGAATATATTTGTTAGAATATATTTGCATAATAGATTTGTTTAGCAAATTCGAGTTGCAATTCACATTGGGAGAGAAGAAAATTTATAAATTGTTCTCCGCGGCCTGTGGAAGCCTGTCGCGAAATTGCGAGGCTGCGACACTCGTAATATTGGAAATATATATGTACTTTCGAAGTTCATCCGGCAGTGGCTGCTTCTGAGAAGGGCTTCGATGTCTGCTTCTATGTCTTCTTCTGGGCTCCGTGTGGCTTACCTACGGCATATCAGCCAGTCAAATATTACAAAGTAGTCTTGCGTACCAATATCGACTGAGTAACGATACTTACAATAGCTTTTTGCACACCTTCTTTCCGTTTCTGCGCCTCCCTCCATTGCGGTTCCGAATCTATCAACTCGTGTCTACTGCGAAAAAAAATAACATCATTAAATAAAATTGGTACTTATCGGTTTATTCTACGAAAGAAAAAAATCCTGCAGAAAAGAAATCCTTTATCCTTTTATCGGGGAAGAACATGTGCGGAATTAATGATGTTAGCGAAGGTCAATGAATCCCGTCATTGATGGGAACAAGACTCATTACCATCGAACTGCTTTTAATTACACGTTAATGCTCATAAAGGTTCGTGATTTGAATTTATCAAGGCTATTTTACTTACGAAACAATTATGAGAAACGAGATGTTATCGCGGTGAGAGCGAAACGTTATACGTGTAATGGAAGGTTTAATATGTAAACCGTACCTGGAGGAAGAGCGGGAGTTCCTGTGTTTTCTGCGATGCTTCCGATGGCCGGATCTCGTGTCGGAGCCCCTCGAGAGCTCGGACTCGCAATCGGAATGTCTGCTATGTCGACGATGACTATGACTATGACTTCGCCTGCGGTGGCCGCTGCGGCTATGACTATCCCCCGAACTTTGACTCTCCACCGAGCTGCTCCGACGTTGAAGTCTACTTAAGAGCTAGAGTCGACAAACGAAGTTAATAAGCAATTCAAACACGGAAATTTTATAACAGTTGCGTAATGCGGATATGTTTGACCCGTCAGCAAGTCAATTCTTTTGTCTATTGTGCGTATATACATGTGACGCATCTCGTTCGAGCGAATGTTGCAATAATCAACTTTGCGGCGGGTTAAGCACAGCCGAGCGAGGAAACACGAGCGAGTGTAATAATGTCAACTAACTGCCGGCGCCGTTCCCGCGGATCGAACGGAGCGAGGACTAGACGAGGTGTACAGGCCGCGGGGCTGACTCTGCGTCCACGGCGCGCTTCTCGTGCTTCTCGGACTCGAGGTGTTCATCTGCTGCCTTTGCGCGTTGCACAGCACGTTGCCGCCGGACGGATTGTTGCTGCCCGAATTCGAGATTACGGTGACGGGCGTTTCGACGAACGAACCGACCATCTCCTGTCCCTCGACGACTCGTCGCTGCGCTCTCCGGCTGGGAGTCCTCTGAAACGGCGGTGGATTTCGCCTAATGGCCGCGTGCTTCTCCAAGGTGGACGGAGGGCTGTACGAGTGGAAGCGGGAGTACGGACTGAGGGGCGGTGGGCCGGTCGCCATCAATCGGAAGAAAGCTTGATGCTCCAAGCAACATTTCCAGAGGTGACGGCAGGCCCCTTTCGACGGCGTCTCGAAGCCGTGCGTCCTCTCCTCGGAATTCTTTTCGCTTACCCTCAGCATGAAGTATCTACCCTGAAAGTTGATGCAACTCGTTTCGACATGTCGTAAAATGAGAAAGAAATGCGAAGGAGAAATCAACATTTTCGGCACTACGGTGTCATTAAACGTTTCACTCTAAAATCAATTCTCGAATTTACTTAAGAATTGAACACTTGAAAAAAAAAGAGGGAAAGAGGGACAGCAATTTTATAGTAAGCTAACAAAATTGGCAGAATTTTGTACCTTATAGTAGATTTTATTGATTCGAGGCCAGTAATAATTTCCCACTTTGGTCTTGTTGCGTAGCAATATTATTCCGCTCGGTGTTAGGCCCAGAAAATACTCCACGCTGTCCTCGCCCTACGAACGAAAATTGTACGATATTGCAAGATTAACGCACGATCGCGGCATTAGTTACGTCGACGTCAGTAACACGCCTCTACGTACCAATACGGGATGCAAATCCACCCCGTACATTTCCAGCCATTTCACCTTGTCCAGATAATTTAATTCCGCTGCTGAAGGCAATTGTCCTCTGAAAGATCACAAACATGTACTCGTTTTAGAAATTAAATCGATTTCATATTTTTATGTTACTTGCACGAATTGAATTGTTTTCGATTATCTTAGCAGAAATATTAATTGTTAACAAAAACATGATTGCTTAATTCCGCTAAAGAAAAAAAGATACGTGGCGCTTTCAGAATTTTATTCGCATTATTCAATTTTCAAATAATATTTTTTATAAGAATTTAAATGTTGGGACTTAATAAATGTGAGACCGCATAAGTTATGGCCTTATGGATAACCGATCGATTGTCACTATTCAATTTTCAAATAATATTTTTTACAAGAATTTAAACGTTGGGACTTAATAAATGTGAGGCCTGCATAATAAGTTATGGCCTTATGGTTAACCGATCGGTTGTCTGCAATATAGAAACTACTGCTATTGCAGAATAGTTTTAACGCTATTCGAATACTAAGCATCACGATTGACATACATAAGAGTTTTGTGGATCTCCACTATGCGATTCTCCAGTTCCGTGGTTTGGTTGGCGAGAAACCGAAATTCGGTGACGTATCCGGGCGAGTGCCGTCTAGGATCGTAATCCCCAAGCTCCGCTGAAAATAACAGCGCATTATTCTCGGACACCAAAAAAAACGAAAAGGTATAATTATTTATATCGCGTGTACACTGAGAAAAAAGAAAGTGTAAAATCAAATGAATATTTCTTGATTCAACTATACTTGGCGGTCACGGGCTGTCAAACAAATATTTGTTAATTCACAAAAATATCATGTTAATGTTATTGATGTATGTTTAATTCAAAAACATATATAATTGAATCAGAGAAAAACTGTCAACAAAACGCAGTTATTTTAACAACTTTTTTTCTCAGTGTTTACGTGCGGAGAGAAAATATGCATCAATTCAGATTACGTCCATTACTATACTCGTACGAGATCGTCGATAAGCTGAAAATAAAGGATCGTATCGCGGCGGAATAAATATCGCGCTGCACGAAATAAATAAACGGTAAAAATTATTAAAAAAAAAAACGCAATTTCATTACCGTAATGACTGTGATAACGTTGCGAGAAAAGAAGCACCCTTTTTTCTCAACCCACACTCCATTTCCCGTTTCTGTCTTTCGCGGATCTACACGGACATGCTCTTTTCCGTCTCTTGCTGTATATATATGTGTATTATCGTTGAATAGAAAGAAGGGATATTCATTTCGTCTCTTTTGATGGCGATGAGATGCAAACACGGAGCGTATATTTCAGTTTGCCTTCCCTTTTTCTATCTGTACGACTTTGAATCTTTCCAACAGATAACTATAACGAGTGGACCACCGCCGTGCGTTTTGTTTGCTCGCGTTTAGCTGCGTCTTGCCATATATATATATATCTATGTAAATTTTCATATTCTCCGCGTCTCCTGCAAATGCTATCTCTCTCGCGTAATTTTAATGCCGGTTTTCCTTCACATAGACGAACGACATCCGAGTGTGCGTAAGAAAATAATAAGCGTGATATTTTGATATAAGAGATGGCATATCTTACATTGGACGACGTAGGCTCCCAATTCTGCGGCTAGATCGAAGGACACGGGCAGCCTTCCCTGCAGAATGTCTTGCTTTATTTGCAAGAAGAACTGATACCTGTGGAAAACAAGTCGGAAACCGTCATCACATTGATCTTTCCTCTCCGTCCTCCGCCTCTCTCTCTCTCTCTCTCTCTTCGCTTCGCCGTAACTGCAGCGAGCTCTTAAAATACGAGACTCGGGAGACCGCGGAGGATCGCGTATCGGAACGCATCGATGCGGAAAATAATATAATTTTTGTACACGCGTATATCTGTATCTCTCGTCTCGCGCGCGGATCCACCAGAATGCGGGAATTAAGTATGGATCGGTGGAAGCGCGCACGAGCGCACAAGAGAGCGGAGCAGTAAGTTAACGCCGCGAAACGCGCTGACGCGAGCCACGAGCCGCGCGTGCATGCATACATGCATGTATACGTATGTATGCATGTATGTATGTACGTAAGGGCGCCGCGCGCCTTCAAGAAATTCGACGCACGTGGAATTCTCGTGCGTCCGCGATGTACCGTGTGATGTCCCTGGAATTTCCTGGAATTTCGAGACGCCGAGCGTGAAAGGATCGTTTGCACGGAGGAGCGTGACAGCGAATAAAAATCGTCCGTATTATCCGCGCATATCGCGCGCGCTGGAACGAACTCTCGCGTACGCGCGATGGTTTTCGTTTTCAATATTCTCGTCGGGAGAGCGTTGTGTCGAAAGACTCGTGAAACGTATCGCGTCGTTATCGGAAAGACTGTAAAAACGAGAATATCCGAGGGCGAACAAGCAGTTCGCGGGGCTTTACTTTAAAAGGAAGATTCTCGCTCGTCTCGATCTCTCAAGGGTCTGAATTGTACAGACGTGACGCGACGGAAGTTATACCCGCGTACGTGACGGGGGCATATACTTTTGAAGAGATTTTCTCAAGAGAGAATTATGTTACATCTATTTCCGCGTATATATTAACCTCGTGATCTTGGTGTTAACTCGTCTTTCATCTTTTTCGAGTTCTGAGAATTGGAAAAAGATAAAGGGTAAGTTAAACCAGAGATTAAAGTCAATCCACCGCATTGATATATAGGAGCGAGCATTGTTCGAATGGGAGCGTTATTCGTACGTCTCCCCTGAACGAGAAGATCCGGTGTTATTACCTGGTAATTTCCTCGATGAGCTTGCACGGATCCGCCGCGTAGAATTTGACACCGAAGTAGAGCGTGTGAACGTCCGATCCGGGATCTCCTTTGTGAATCTTCAGCTGCTTGCCGAGCTTTTTGCTTTGATCGAGCCATTGCTAAAATATTCGTTATATTCGTAATTACGATTGGGTCTCGCGCGGAAAGTGATTTTAATGTCAGAACTCGCACGCATTTCAACACAATCGCGACAACCAGATCCCCGATCTCGGCGGGGGGATCTCGAATTATATATACGTTGCCGGGATCAAAAGTAATTCAATTGCTACGAGGTTGTAAGATTAAACAGATTGTGTCCTACCGTCTGATTCCCGTGATCGAGATAGCGTAATCCGAAATAGGAAGTTTCCAGCAGGTTAAGGTGCTTGAACACTCTATCCAACAATTCCTGGCCCAGGTTCGAGCTCTGGAAAATGCACGTATACTTGCAAACGTATAATTATGTACATACTTACAAACACAACGCCGCCAGTTAGGCGCGCATATATATAATATAAGTATATATATACACATATGTATAATAAAGTGCATTATTAATTCGTCGGATTTTGTACATACAATCGCGAGGTGAGGTGCACTTGTTGCACGGCTGGTTAAATCACACCGGCGCGGCGCGGCGGAGATTGAAATCGGGAGGACGGTTTCCCACTGGTGGTTGCGGACCGTGACGTTCGTTCGTTTGTTTCTTCCCCCCTTGCCTCCTCCTCCCCCTCGAGGGAAACGAACGGGATCCTCTCCGGGTGGATGTGTTTTTCATCGTTAGATTTTACACGCGCGTTATTATCTTTCGCACCGTGATTTACGCGCCCCGGCGAGACGCGCGCGCGCATAGAGGAGAGTAAGTAGTATATGAATCTGACGTGCGCTCGGTAAATGTACCTATCCTTCCCTTTTTTTTTTCGCAAGCGCGAAATGCGATGATCGAGGAAATCGACCCGATGGAGATCAGACCAAACGAGTTCGATAAACGAAAGGAAACGCGAAATACGGCGCGGCGTAATGAAAGTGGCAGGCAGTTTAAGAATACAGAGGAAGAGAAAGAGATAGAAGGAGAGACCGCCGAGGAGAGAGCGGCGGAGGAAGAAGCTGAAGGAGGAGGAGGAGGAGGAGGAGGAGGAGAGGAAGACGAAAGACCTCGCCCTTTTTCTTTCGCCTAAGGCTTAGAAGAGTCGAGTATAGGTTCAGGAGATGGGTAATCATCTCCAACTTGCGTGTTCCGAACGATCCTTCTTCTTCCTTTTTTTGCTCGTCCTGCCTTTATCTCTTTCTTTCTCTCTCTCTCTCTCTCTCTCTCTCTCTCTCGATCGGTTATTCCAGTGAGTATTCTTTCATTTTTCATGCACGGTGTAATTTAAACATTTATTTAGGCATTCTAATCTTTCCCGCCTAGAGCTCGTTGTGGGAATCGAAAACACCGTAACCGCGGATTGACCGGTCCCCGCGAAAAGAAGACCCCCAGCTCCGAGAAAGATTTTGCTTCGCGATAAATCGTTCGGGAATATACCGCCGGGGGAGAGGGTTGTTCGCGCCGGACGGATCGACAATTCCCTCATTTTGTCGAAGCACGCAGATATACGAGGGAAAGCGGAAAACGTCGATTCCGCGAGAGAGGAAGACGGCAATAAAGGAAAAAAAAAAAGGAGTAGTCGCGAGAATATAGGAGTCACGTCCTTGGCGAAACGGTACGGCGCGAATAGGAGGAGATGAATAAACGCGGCGACGCGGCCAACGCGTCGCCCCGCTTTGTATAGAAGAGGGATTCACCTTCTGCCTGCAGGTATATGTATACCGTGACCAGGTACGGTAACGTCAATGAAAAGTGTAGCAACGATCGTGACAGGAGAAAAAGGGGGGAAAGATGTTATACCGCCCGCGGCGGGCACTAAGCGCCATTTGTGTAATTGGACGTCGAAGAAGCGAGGAAGGAGGTGATCTCTCTCGGCGGTGCGAGACGGTAACGTTACAGGAATTCGAGGAATTCCAATGCGAACGAGCGCGCGCCTTTGGCTTTTAATCTCTTTTTGTCTCTTTCTCTCTCTCTCTCTTTTCCTCGACAGCTCCGATTATCGCGGGATTGATATACCTCGCGAGTTTCAGCTGAGGAGACTCCCCAGACGGGAGAATTGCGTGTCGCGGGCGTTGACGAGGATAGCGTTCGAGGAGATACCGATAGGATATCCGGTGAGCGTCTCGAAGGAAAATTCTCTCTCGTCGGTTCTTCTCTCGGGGAGCTGTTCTCCGTATACACCGCAGAACTCCGGCCGCGCGATGCCTTATGCTAATTCCATTGAAATTGCTACCGCGACGCAGGAATGGCGCGGGGATATCTGATTCTGCTGGAAAGAGGGGGAGAGAAAGAGAGAGAGAGAGAGAGAGAGAAAAAGAGTTACACGTTTATCCGGTCGCGCTATCTTGACGCATGGTCATTCTTTCGCGCTATTATGCCGCAATTACGGGGAGACTGGTTCTACGACTGTGCGCGCGGTATAAAACCGGAAAGATACGAGATTTGGATACCGGTGGTATAACGATAGCGCGCCGATACACCGCCCTGTACACGTATATATCGCGCTTATCAACGATCAACGGTTTCTCTTCCCCTCCCTCCCCCTTTCCTACGCGCAATTCTCGGTTGCACTTCTTCGGCATTTTGCAACGACCCTTTTTTTTCCCTCCCATTCTCACGTATACGCATCGTTCGATTACGCCAGGGTATATCGGCGATTAGATCATCGCTTCCAATACGTTCATTTCGACACGTTATTTCTTATACAGGAGTCAGAGACGCGGTGTATAGTCGACTTATCGTCTTTCGTGAGTCTCTTCTTGCGCGACTATATTATATGCGTATAATAATAGTACACTGCCACGCTTTGCCCGAGTATACGGTATCTGCCAAAGAAGATTCGTCGAATATTCGGATACTTTTCGCGAGCCTGCGTGATCGATGCGAATCAACTTTGACGCTCGATATCCCTCCTCGGAGGTACAATCTTCTCGTTTTTTTTTTTTTTTAACGTGCTCGACTGAATTTCGGTTTGCGTTCGGGTTTTACGGGCGTTACACGTATACGCGATACACACAATGAAGGATTCGTGCTTATACAGGTCCGGAATGTTAATCGACAAAATGAGCTAGACGGTGAAAGGGAAGCGGCGAGAGGATAAGAGGAAAGAGAGAGAGAAAAAAGAGAGGGAGAGAGAGAGAGGGGGGGGAGGAAAGAGCGCAACGCGAGAGAGCGATTCCGAGAGGAAGAAAAAAAGAAAGAGGGGGGGAAACGGGTAGGTTGAAAAGACGCGAGAATTAGTGTGCGGCACCGGCCGTCGGCGATGCGGAGGAGGTACGGCGGCGTTACCACCGTCGTGCAGGCCCACGGTGGCCCACCGCCAATTTTGGCATATCGTCTAATAACAGAGAAGACCGAAGGAATTCCGGGTACCCCCCTGAGATGTGTACGCGTTCTTCCTCTCGTGCGCGCCCGCGGAGCCGCCGCCGCCGCCGCCGCCGCCCGACAGTCGGCCATAACCCACCGTGGCCGCCGCCGTCGCCGGCGGGCACGAGTAGTCCGGGGCCAACACCGAAACAACCGTCCAGAAACGAACTGGGGGGGGGGGGAAAGAAAATGCTATTAATTCACTAAATTACAACTTGGCTACGCGCACGTCGAATTACGGGATAGGGTTGTACGCCGCATACCTTCATCCGCCGTACCGGAACGATTCGCGAACTGGGCGCATCCTCGGACTGAGGGCGATATTGCGAGCGGCAGAGCACCCGTGTGTCGCTTTTAGACTTTCAGAGAGAATCAGGGCGATCAGGGAGGAAAGGATGAGCCGCGTCGAGAAAAGAACGGCTCGAGGGTGATTCGGATTGATGAGACTTCCGAGGGCGCTTGAACTTACCAGGACGTCCTGCAGCAATTCGTGCTCGTCCAGGAGTATCACCTTGCAGTGCAGAAGCCGGGGCCTGTTGCTCCTGGCCGGCTTGAGTCCAGGGCACAGCCACTCCACCACCATCGCTTCCCTCCTCTTCCCCTCGACTTTGTGTATTACTGCCTGGCTCGCGCGTTTATCCGCTCGGCGCGTTTGGGTCCGCGCTCATCCTGAAAACGCACGAGGACATTCTTATATACTGTCGTTCTCGCTGCAGTATCGCTTCGAATTAACGAACCGCGCTTTGCGAATCGGTACAAACGCAATACACCACGGCTCGATTAAGTAAAAATTTAAAAAGTGCGGAGATCATTGTCTCCCGATCGCGCGAATCGCCGTCAAATCCGCATTCCTTATTATCGCACCCAGACGTGTTTAACATAGCATAAATAAATATTACGCAAAAAAAGGATTAGCTAATGTAGCTAAAATATAGCTATGGCAGCTAAGTCGTGCCCTTAAAATAGGGACTGCTATAATGTCGTTGCTGCCATAGTTCAATTTATTAAAATGTAAGTTATTAAAATATAGATGCTACAGCAAAAAATACTTGCTGCTAAAATCAAATGATATTTAGCTGAATCTACTGTGCTATATTTTATCTTTGTAATAGAGATTAATAATATTTGCATAGCTCATATACTGCAAAATATAAATGCTAAATGCGCTGCAGATATGCATATAGTAGTGCCACATTGCAAAAACAATTACAAATCAAATTTTCGCGCGTAGCTGTAAACTTAGCTGTATGCGTGCTAAATGTGTACATGATAAGACATTTAGATTCGCGTGCCATTTTTTTTGCTACCTGTACTAATATATACTTTCAATTTCAGCTAATAAATTTTCTTACCACAATGATTGTTTTTTGTCCTGTGATAGCCAGAACTTGGCAATGACACTAACAATAAGGCTCTTATAGCTAAGTTTGATTCAGCTATTGAAATTTCGCTACTGTTACCAAGTAATTTTGTTTGCATGTAATGTATTAATATATGCGAGCAAGACTCGATCGATGAGAGATCACGGACCTAGAGCAGGGGAAAGATATTTTCCAAAAGAAGCTTTCCGAGGATTATACGCGGTCTCGCGTCTACAGGGCTTTATGATCTTCCGCGCGTGAACGTTATTCGGCGACATCGTCGGAGAATATCAAACCGTCATAAATAGCGGTGATCGGCCCGGCGGTGTTCGCCGTGTACCGTTACACTTTATAGTATACCGCTTGAATGGTGAACGATCCGCAATGAGCATATAGACCTCGCCGCTTCGGCGATAATATACCCGGTATATCGTTCCGATCGCGCCGCGGATCAGTTGTAACGCAAAAGCCGTTTTATCTCGGGAAAAAATAACACGATGATTAAAGCAAATAGAAAACGTCTCGCGTTTGGAGCGCGTATCGGGCATACGTATATATTATTATATTGTACGTCTCGCCGCGGGAGGAGGCGACTCCTATTACGCGCGCGGAGGAGTTGGCTCTCCTCGAAACGTATAGGTGAACCGAGGAGACGTTCGCCCGACACGTGGCGTCTCGCGGCCGAGAGGCCCGCGGCGTGGAGGGGGGAGGGGATTCAAGTACACCTTTTGTCCTCGCGCGTACATACGCGCCGTCGCTCGAGAAAAATGCCCCGCGTATATACACACAATGTGTGTATGGCCCAAGTGTATGGCCCGAGTGCCATTGAACTCGGTGACGGAGCGGACGCGGAGCGGAGCCTACTCCGCGCGCGCGGTAGTCGCGTGTACGTGGAATGGAACTGGTTTCGAATCCAGGATATCTCTCTCACAATCGCGCTTGATATAGGAGAGATAATAGGAGCTGATGAACCCTCTGGCCCCGATTCGACTTGGCTAACGGGGACGGCCGTCGCCGCGTATGTCTTTCTGATAAGAGTGCAGAACGAGAGGGAGGGAGGGAGGGAGGGAGGGCGTTAGAAAGGACGGAAGGAAGAAGCCCGACGCGTTTTCGGGCGAACGAGATCATTTCGGGGGTTCGTAAAAGAAAAAAAGAGAGAGAAGAGAAAGAAAAAAGAATTCGCCGTGTAATATACTCGCTCGATGCACCCGTTGGGGTATACTGGGTAGAATATTTCGCGTAAATATCGACGCGACACGACGGGGATCAACGGGGTCTCCCTTTCTCTCCCTTTCTCTACCTCCGTTTCTCTCCTCTTCCTCGTTCGTCCTTTTCTCGCTCCTTTTTGGCTTCTCTTTAAGTGACAAGTGTAAGTCGACCGCCGGTCTAACGATCGGTATATTAGCATAGAAATTTCCGCGACACCACGGGATCGTTATTTATCTCGTAAATGATCCGGCGAGGCGAAACCAAGCTCGCCAAGATGAAAAACACACAGCTAAGCGATTTTTTTCCCTCCCCCTCTCGGCTCGTCCTCCCTTTCGCGCACTCCGGCATTCCGACGACGTCATCTAATTAGCGTGTCATTTGCATCGGGTGCAAGAACACGCGTGACTTTCGCTGAAAAAGAATTCTTTAACGTGCACTTCCGGCCGCGCTGTGCAGTTGAAAAGAGAACGGCGCGGGAGACGCGCCGACTGACAACAACAATCCTTTAATTGAAATTCTCGCAAGATGTGAGTAATCGATGAGTCAATGATTTCACGGCGCAACGAACTTTGTGAAAAAATTTCATATTATGTACATATCGGTAATTGTATAATAATAAATATAAATAAGGACTGCCCTTATAATATAAATAGTAATAATAGTAATAATAATATATAAATATTAATAAAATTATTACTCGTATACAAGATTTAATTCCGAAATTCGGATAAAGAGAGCATAAAGAAGATGAAAAAAATAATCACAATTATCATTCAGTTGCATTTTTACTCCTTTTTTTATTATTCTTAATTTCGATATCGTTTTTACTAAAATGTATCGTCTTTGTAAAATTCGAATTTCGCGTGGATCATTCTCTTTACAATTAAAACGTTACATTGTAATTTCGCAGTTTATAAAATTTAAATCTATTAAAGACATTGAATTCCGGTGAGAATTGTTTCGATGTACTAGTATACTTGAACGTGCATTCGTCTAACTGTATCGCAATTTTTTTTAATGTTCCATTTAATTAGGCAAAACAGTGTACTTCCATTTCTCCCGTTTCATACGCGCACATTGCGATCAAACGTCTCGCGGAAAAAATAAAATAACGGCGCGATTGAAGAGCGTCGTGGAGAGAAGGAAGATAAAAAAATTCTCAGGTATATCCGAGAGCCAAGTATATACGCACCTCCGTTGCGATTCACGTTCCGGGTTGCGTCGCGTTGTAGCCTCTCGTTGTGGAATCGGCTCCGGCGCTTCCGGCACTTTTCGACACTCGCGCGGCACTTCCGGTACCAGCAGAAGAACAAAACCTCCGGGACACGGGACTCGCGAGAAAGGTATTCTTTATTGGCGTGTGCGCGCGACGCGCCGACCGGCGTGTATGGGAACGCAAGCGCGCGAGAAAGAGAGAAATAAAGAGAGAGAGAGAAAGAAAAAAAAAGGAGCGCGTCTTTCCTTATAAACACACTTGCGTTTCACTCGGTGCGCGCGCGTACGAGGCGTTCGGCACGGAGTCGAGCGGATCGTCGTCGTCGTCGTTGTCGTCGTCCGTCGTCGCGCGTGTGCGACCGGGGCATGATCGTAGATAACTCTTTATCGGCGATCGTCGATCGCGCGCGTCTCGGAGGGAAGGGAGGAGAGGAGAGGAGGGCCCCGCGGGGGTGCCGGGAGTTCGTGTGTACGCGGTGCCGCGCGGCGCGCACTCGCGCCCGATCCGTGTGTGTCGTGGTTGACGTTCGCGGACGGAGGGAGACTCGCGATTGACAGTCCCGCGGATTTCAACGGGGCCGCATCGCGTCGCGCGCGGACGGACGCGAGAGTTTTCAAGTTGTGCGGCGCGGCGCGACGCGGGCCGACGAGGCCTCCGGCGAGGGGTTCGGTGGGGGTGGGACGAGGTGGGCGAGGCGGCCAATGCGGTTCGCGCGGACCTGTCGCTCGCGCGGCGGGGAGGGAAAGAAAGGGTCGGAAAGAAGGAGACAAAGAGGAACGCGGGCGCGAGAGGCAACGAACCCCGTCGGTGCCTCCATCTGAACGCGACTGATCGAACGCGCGCGTGACGGACGATTGTTGGAAATGTAGATCGCGCCGAGGGATTACCATCCGGACGTCGATAACTCAATTGATAACTGCAGGTTGCGAACGATTTGAGAAGTCGAAGGGATACATATATTTCAATTATCAACACGTCGCGCTAATGAATTCCGCGTTTCTCCGTGTGTTGATTTTAATTGGATTTTATTAATTGCCTTTTGTTGCGCAGTGAGTTTTATTTAGACCTCAATTGGGAAAACAACAGACGTTAAAGTAATCGAGAATGCAAGTGCGGTTTTCCAATCGAAAACTTTCAGCAGGAAAATATATTTTAGATAGTCTCAAAAATTGTAGCTTTCAATGAAAAATTTGAATAAAAAATAACCAACGATAAATATGTAATAATCACTTGCTATAGATATATATTTATATATAAATCATATGTCTTAACGAAACCGTCGCAATTTAAATAGATAGATATATTAGTCGCATTTGTCTAAGCGTTTCGAAGAATCGAGCTTATACTGAGAATCTCGATTATATATATATAGTATATGTATACATATATATACATACTAGGAATTAACTCAAGCGCAGAGCTGTGACGTCACACTAATCGCTCCCCGGACGATTTGTTTTCTCCCTCTATCCCTTCCTTTTCTCTCTCTCTCTTTCTCCTCTAAATAATCCTCTCGCATACATACTTTTGTTTCTAACCAGAGAAGAGTGACGTGAAATACAAAAAACGGGGAGAGAGCGGTCCACCCCGGTGTCCCGCATCATTCCGTCGTACGATCGCGCGCTCTCAGCTGTTTCGCGTCAGGTGACTTTGACGTTCTTATATCTGCTATGCAGTTAAATGGGGATCATCTGTTACGACGCGTATACATACATATACGTTATATACGTATGCATACGGGCCCCACATACGTGCGCGCGCGCGCGCGCGCGCACATAAAGAAGGGGAAGCTTGGTGCAGGGAGGGAGAGGGAGACGCGATGCGCTCCTCTCGCGTGCTCGTGCGTCCGCTCGCTTACAACAGTTATACTCGGCCGGTTGACGATTAATTCGCTCGCGAAGCCCCCTTTCGACCGCGCGGCCGCGCACGGGTCAGCTCGCACGCGGAAACGGGCGCATAAATGTATCTCTCTCGATAACCGGGCGGGTGCAGCCGATTAAGAAGGTGGGTCTTTCTCTTTCTCTCTCTCCCCTACCTCTATCTCCCCTCTCTCTTTCTCTCTTCCTGGAAAGAAAAAAGAAACGGTGCAGTCTCTCTCCCTTCCTCCTCCTCCCCCCCTCACCCCTCCCCCCGTCATTCGTTCCCGCACGAGAGTCCGCGCGGCCGCGACACACTATCGTCGCAACGCACCCTTTCGTCGCGCATCCACGCGACGGCATTGCCGTCTGTTGAAGTAGCGCGCGCGAGAGAGAGAGGGGGAGAGAGAGAAAGCTCGCTGAGGGCAGGCTTCCAAACAGGACGGGATTGCGAAAGAAAAAAAGGAAGAAAAAAAAAATAAAAATAAATAAACGCGAATGGTAAATTCGCGAAAGCTCTCTCTCTCCCCTCGACGCGCGCCTCGAGAGACACTCGCGACGAGTTCGTCGGTCACGGCGCGTCAAGATCGACGAGATCGCTCCTTCTCCTTCCGCGTGTTCGACCGACCGCCGAGGGGCTCCAACGAAACGCGAACCTGAACGTGCCCCGACAATTCGTGCTCCCCCTCGTGTCCCGTCCAGCTCGGCGTTTTCCCAGGCCATCTTTCTCCGCAGTCCTCGCGGAGTACGCTTGAACTTTCACGGTGTGTCGTAAAGGTTATGCCGAAAGGTGCTCCCCTCGTCTGACGCTCGTCCCCCCGTCGCGCGTCACGGTATCCGTTTTAGCGTCGCCCGACCGCTCGACCTCTCCGTCCTCCTCGGCTAACGCGCAGAACGTTTTTTTTTTCTCTATATGCAGATGTCAAGCGAGAATGACAGCGAGATGGATTGCTCGGACTCCGACTGCGGGGATCCGGGCTACGAGGATTATTACAAAATCCAGCCGTGGGGCGGCGACGTGGACAACGACGTGGACCCGGAGCAGAACAGGAAGGACCCCGAGTACGCGGTGTACGACTGCCTGCGCGTCGAGGAGGTGGAGCGGCTGCTGAACGAGAGCGTGGAGGTGTTAAGTAACAGCCTTCACGTCACGCCATCCCTGGCCAAGGTGTTGCTGCACGCGCACAACTGGGCGTCACAGGACATCGTCACGAAGTACCGTACCAATGCTTCCAGTTTACTGATTAACTCAAAGATCAAGCCTACCCCGGAGCAAGTGCCAGGAGCGAAGAGCCAGCGGGGCGGCGTGTGCTTGGTCTGCGTTACGATCTGCCCCGCGGACAGATTTTCTACACTCACATGCGGACACTCGTTTTGCAAAGACTGTTGGTGTATGCATTTTGAAGTACAAATAACTCAAGGTATCTCTACCGGTGAGTATACAATGTCGCTCCGCTGTGATGCTCCACCTTGAATCTTGTGTAGCTACTTTCTTTTTTTTTTTTTTTATCAACAACCTTTCGACGTTTACCCTTTGTTTCCTGCCTGCAGGTATAAGCTGCATGGCACAAGAATGCGATGTCCTAGCTCCAGAGGACTTTGTCCTTTCCCTACTTACTAAGCCTAACATGAGAGAAAGGTATCAGCAGTTCGCCTTCTGTGATTACGTCAAGTCTCATCCACAACTACGATTTTGTCCTGGTCCAAATTGCCAAATAGTTTTGCGCTCGAAGGAACAGCGAGCAAAGAGAGTCATGTGTTCATCATGTAAAACTATATTCTGGTAAGCAGTCATGGATGCGTGTTGTTATATACGTACATGCTGAATATTTCATTTTACAAGAGTGAAAACACCATTGTAAATAATGAGGGGAGAAAAGAGTCGAGGCTAGATGTTAGTTCTAATAATTATTAGTTTCAATAATATTCTTAAAATAGTTTCCAATAATATTCTTAATTTTTAAATCTTTTAATTTCAATTATCGTAAACTGCGCGCCGATTATTGTCGGTCTCTAAGAACGCAATCACAACTTAAAGGCTGTAATATCTATTAAATTGACCGTTGTAAATTCCAGCTTCCGATGTGGTATGGATTATCATGCACCTACCGATTGCGGTACAATTAGAAAATGGTTGACGAAATGCGCGGATGATTCCGAGACGGCGAATTACATTAGTGCTCATACCAAAGATGTGAGAATATATATTTGTATTGTCCTTAGAATAGTTTCGAAAGCATAAGAGAAAAAAAAAACGCTCGAGTGCATCGTAAAATTCCTTTTGCAGTGTCCAAAATGTCATATCTGCATAGAGAAGAACGGTGGCTGCAACCATATGCAATGTTACAATTGTAAACACGACTTCTGCTGGATGTGCCTTGGGGATTGGAAAGCACACGGTAGCGAGTATTACGAATGCTCGCGTTACAAAGAGAACCCGAACATCGCGCACGAGAGCGTTCACGCGCAAGCGAGAGAAGCTCTCAAGAAGTACCTACACTATTACGAGCGAGTAAGTTTGACTTCATTATAATCCACAAGTCCTTGAATTATAATCTTTGTTACATTTTTTTTATATTTTCCGCTCCACTACGTTCTGTGCTCTTTCAGTGGGAGAATCACAGCAAGTCGTTGAAGTTGGAGGAGCAAACGTTAGAGGGGATTAAGATGAGAATTAACAACAAGGTGATGAACGCAAGCGGTACGTGGATAGACTGGCAACATCTGTTCGAGGCGGCGTCGCTCCTAGCGCGTTGCCGCTACACCTTGCAGTACACGTATCCGTACGCCTATTACATGGAATCTGGCCCGCGCAAAGAGCTGGTGAGACATATCGGCGATAATAATAAGCAAAATTCGACAAGATGTAACGTGTGATAACAGATGGATATTGAATTACTTTGCTAACAGTTCGAGTATCAACAAGCTCAATTGGAGGCGGAAATCGAGAATCTCTCGTGGAAGATCGAACGAGCGGAAACAACGGATCGGGGGGATCTAGAGAATCAAATGGACATTGCGGAGAAGCGTCGTGTTACTTTACTAAAGGATTTCTTCGAGGTATAATTAATCGAATGCTAACTTCTCTCAGTCGCAGCGCATCTGGAATCCGATCTAAAATCGGATCACAATTGTAGTTTATTTTTCAAATATCGTCTATCTGCAATTTGCAAAGTATATATATATATATTTATATATATAAATATATATAAATATATATATATTATATATACATATATATATATATATATATATATATATATCAAAGAACACGATCATGTCATATGCCACGTGTACGAAATTGTTATGCGATTTTGATTAAGATTAATTGTAAGTAGCTAAGTTCCGACAGGGGAATATTTTTGTTTTGTCGTAAGACAATGTGGGATGCGACTGTAAAAACTGAAGGATGTGATTTTGTCTGAGTATTATCGATAGAGGAAATAATTTAGTAACGCTAATGTCCTCCTGAATCGTCGTTCGAATCCGATGTGACATGGAGATTGTAGCAACATTATGTATATTAGTATTGGTTTCAAGCTGAGAGACGAATTTTTTTTCATGTTACACTGAAATATAATCGTTAGGATAACTTGTCTTATGCGACGACAAAGACTAGACTCTACTTAAAATTCCGTTATTATACGCATAGACAAAATCGATGAGGAAAGTATTAATCGTATCGACGACTGATTTATCGAAAAAAAAAAATCGATGCTAAAAGCGTATATTCCTTTCCTAGTCTAAGAGTATTTTTCAAAAGCGCGCCGCACAGCGCACGCGAAACGCTCCCTTTCCTTTTCTCATTCTGTATTCACCGAAATATATATAAATACATACGTATATATACATAGGCTGCATTCAGCAAACCATGCAGCTTGGTGAGCGCTGATTCTTTAGTGTGACTGATTCTCTGATTTTAATTCTTCGCTGGATCTAAATGTAGAGTCCAGTCGTAATAATGAATCTGAAGTAAATGAACCGAGTTGGTTTGTCTGCTGAGCACAGTCGTAACATTTCTACCGACGCTAATCGCACAGTTCGATAGAAGGCACCGTTGTAGGTGGTACGAGAAGTATCGGAGGACCGTACGTCTTCGCTGCTGTTTGCGACCCTCTCTCCGAACCTTATTCGAAGTATTGTTAATGTTTAAGATGTATACATTTACGCGCCCGATGAACTAATGGAAAAAGAAAAAGAAAGAAAGAAACGGTAGCCTAATTTAAGTACTCCGGTGCCAAGAGATGTGACGGCACCGCCCCGCCGTGTATATACTAAGCAGAAATAAACGTGTACGTCGAGGGAGGAATGCGCGCGACGCGTTTTTCTATTAAACTAGATTTTAAAGAGTACATGCAACGATCAAAGATATCCGCGATACACACCTAGCCGTAAACCGAACTTACATATTTTCTAAGCTATTTAAAACAAAAACAAAACAAATAATAAGGATTCACGTACTATTGTGACTTTTACTTTGCGTGAGGAGGGACGTAGGTATTTCCAGAAGCCCAAATTTCAAAGTTCTTCGAAGTACGATGTAATAACTGTGTAACTGTCTCGATAAGACGAATAATAATATTCTTGAACGTAAAACTAAGATAACATAATGATAAGATTCCGGTTTTCGGGAGATTTCGAAAGGAAGAAAGAGCCGGAGCGCGAGAGATGAGTCTCTTGATTTGTCCCTCCTTATATGTAGAACTTCTCGAATGTGCAATGTGGGAAGTAATCACTACCACATAAGGATATTAAAGTATTTGTATAAATTAAATACACTAATAATAATAATAATCATGTATATGTATATACATATGTGTATATATATATATATATATATATATATATATACATATATACAGACACACACA